CAAAGGACATGTACAAAATGATTATGGCAGCATGCGAGTGTATAGATGGGAAGTGACAAAAATAAGTGTTGAACCTACCTTGAGATGCATACATTCATTTCTCTTGGGCTTTCTTAAGGTGCATTACTGGTTCTGTGTTTCTCCACTGCCTATATGTTAATACATAGTGTACCCTTGAGATACGCGTGTCCATTTTCGAATTCTCGTTACTTCTTTGTATCCTCCCTTGTGTAATATTATGTTTCTAGTTCATCTATTTCCATGGTATAATAATTAACTGATTGAATATAGGTCTCATTTGTACAAGTATCATCTCATGTGTCACCTTGTTGCATATGTGTCTCATAAAAGCACTAAATATGTATGTAGCTCATCACAAGTGTTGTTGAAATTAGTGTCCACTTGTGCGTGTCATGATTTTGGTGTGGGTTTGGTATTTGCGATGTACAGATGTAGCCATGGAAATCTAACAGCAACTGAAATCAAAGAACTTGCATAAAAAACAATGGCTCTGAAAAATAAGGTGCACATGCCATTTGTTACAGACACCAAACACTGACAGCTGAACACCAACCCCCAAACACCATCCAGAAAAAGGTTGGAGACCATACAGACAATATATCATCACATGAGACGGTGACACAAAAATGCAAACACATATATAGAAAATATATAAATAAATATGTAAAAAATTAAAGTAGAGTGACTATATCAAAGAAAACAATGTTCAGAGGGCCAATGAGGTTCTTACCTAACTAGGGACACATACAAGTCCTGGGGTACAGATCCTCTATTGCAGATCCTTGTGGGCCAGTCCAAGGATACATATCCCATATTGAATGCTCTGGCAGACATACCCAATATATAGGCTCTGAAACTCAAAGCATATGCTAAACCCACGCTTTATCAAGGCAATAACATTCAAAAGATCACCACTTGCCATTTTTGCAGACACTGACCACTGAATGCCAAGTGCTGGACACCGTCCCCAAAAAGTTGGAGACTATAACAATATGTCACCACTTGTGGTGATGACATAAAAAACTATTTAAACTATGGGATGAAAAGGATATACATACTATAATTTTCTCAAGATATAATTTAACTTAGCATTTATGAATATCATACTTACCACTTGTATTTTCCACTTTACCTAAACTTGGAATAGTTATCATCAACTTATTGTAGATCATGCAGATTCTTTAGAGTGTAACGAAAAAGCTCTACACTAAAAGAGATGTAATCAAACATGATTGCAGATAGGGCAAAAGTAATTAGTCAGCACTACATCTGATTAAGGCAAGGTTGCATCATATCAAAGTTAATACCAGAATAAGATCAGATCAAATTTAACACAGCTCCATGTCACAACAGAATAAGATCAAGGTCACTTGAGGTCAAGGTCAACCCAGGATCAGTAACTCAACTGTTCAATAATATACTCAACCAAGGTCACAGTCACAAATGTCAAGTTCAACATAAAATAATATGATAACTTACACAATCCTTCCATATATTTTTTAGAGAAATCAAATTGATTTTTTGAGAGGTAACATTACTTCTATATAAAAAAGTACCAGTAATAATGCTATTGATGCTACTCATTTTAGTGGAATTCTGGAGTCACAAAAATGTGAATAACATTTTGGCTCAGTTTTTTTTAAAAAACGAAACAGTGCAATATCAGCAAATACTGAATGAATGAAATATGATTAATAATTTCCATAAAATTTTATATGCATATGGAGTTTATACATGAATTCCATTTGGGATCTGTATCTTTAGTTCTCCCCTGTTGAAACGTAACGTAACAATTATTCAGCAAATATGTCATTCTATGGAGGACTGAGGGCAATATACCCCACAAAAATCATTGAAAGTAAGATATAAGTCCAGTCCAGATCATAGAATGAAATATTTGTTTTATTATATCATTGCTTGACATTTTCCCCAAGATCTCAGCTTTCATTTTATTCAATATTGATACTTTCCAGAATTGTGTTCAGTCAGCAATATATCTATCACATGGTACCCTTTCACATGACCACTTCATTGGACGAATAGATTCAGAATTCCTGTGTGGGCAATATACTGGGCAATACAGTATCGTATCGAGAAAGCTGTGAAATATGCTGATATCTTTGATCACATGGCTTCATATTAACCAATCAAATTACAGATTCTAGCAATGACATAATAATAAATATAATAATATGCAGATTAAGTTTTCATACTTGTATGATTTCTATTTTCATAATATACAAGAACAAGGCATTAACATGACAAAATGTCACCACCTAGTTGCTCACAATATTATGAGTTCAATCATAAGTCAGATTTGAATATCTGAGAACTTATAGATGATTTTGAAAAAAAATTGGTCAATTAAAAGCAAGTTGAAAAAAGACCCTTTTTGACCCTGAGAATGTCATTGAAGGTGAAATCTCAAATCTAAAGTCAGATTTGAACTTCCGAGAACTTGTAGATGATTTTGAAAAAATTGGTCAATTTGAAGCAAGTTGAAAAAAAAATTTTGACCTCAAGACGACATTGAGGTTAAAACCTTTTTGACGTTTTTCAAAATAGTCAGATTTGAACTTTTGAGAACTTGCTCAATCTGAAGCAAGTTGAAAAAAGACATTATTGACCTTTTTTGACCTTGAAAAGATCATTAAAGGTCAACTCTAAGTCAGATTTGAACTTCTGAAAAAATGTGTTCAATTTGAAGCAAGTTGAAAAATACTTTTTTGACCTTGAAAAGTCACTGAAGCTCACATCTTAAATATAAAGTCAGATTTGAACTTCTGAAAACTTCTGGATGATTTAAAAAAAATTGAAGTCAGTCTAAACAGTATTTGTTAAGTTATTGGAAGTTGTGAGAAGTTGTTACAGATGCCAATCGCCAACCACCAACCGCCATCAACAGAGACCATAACGATATGTCCCCACTTTTTGGCGGTGACATAAAAATAAAATATGACAAAAACAGTGACAAAAATCGATGTCTTTGCATTTGCTTTGTAAAAAAACATTTTCTCTCTGCTTCATAGGCATCTTTGAATAAACAAAAAACAGATACAGCCCTTCCAGAAGGTCTCTAGAAACATACATTTCTGCAATTCATTCATTACATTTGAAAAACATGAAGCCCACAAACAAATTATCAGTGTGCAGTATCACAATAAAATTAAGAAGATCAAATTAATATGGTGTCATTATGTACAGTTTATTCCCATTGAAATTGGACATGATGCTACATTCTACATGCTTTCATTGTAAACAATAGTCATGATTGCAGTTGATGTTACGACTGCAGAGCAAACGAGGGTCAAATGAATGACGCAATTTGCCAGAAAGTCTGATCTAACCCATAAAAAGGAAAGGGATATGGATATGACAGAAATATGTAAGGAAATGGATATGAAATGATAGCACTATGTCATCTGTTAATTACAAAGTTGATTTAGGAGTACTTTCATGAAAAGGCGGCAATTTTGGAATTCTTCAGAAAAATATACTATAAAATTGAATATCACTAAATTAATCCCCTGGTGATGATATGATAATCAAACAACTTTCTAACAAGTAAACCTCTGTAAGAAGATAAGATCCCTAAAGCTAACACCCACATTCCCGATATTAATAATGAACTGGAACCATGAAACAAATTGCATCATTTATTTCACCCTAATGTTTGGGCTTTTGAAGATCTCGTTCACTCAGATACAGTGGTAGACATTAAAATCTCCTTCATAAGGCTATTCCAGCATTAAAAATAGTTCTAGTCTATAAAACAATAAAACTTGATTAACTCTCTTCATACAGTTTTCAATTTTTTAAATGATGAAATATGTTTGGCTTGTATAAGTAACATGATGATCTTTCAAAAATAATGTCCTATGAGAACAAATGCGATGAAGAATATCTACGGTATATAAATAATATAACCACTACATACACGAGAATTTAAAATTCCTATTTACATTTAAATAAATCAAATTACACTGGTGGCATGATTTAACATTACAATATACAAAATTCATTGAGGATATGGCCTATATATATTGACTGTACATTTTACTATAACATTCACATTTTACATGACAATAAAAACCTAGGTTAATCTCTACACTATATACAGCAATATTAGATTATGGTTATACATCAGCAACAGCTTGGCTCTAGGAAGCCAAATTGCCCATAACCAGATAACCCATAATGTTTATTAAACTGATCTGTATCCATTGCATATTACAGATGACACTTAGTTATATTTCCTATAGTGATTAATCATAACTCTGTATCTGATATAATAGAGTGCTTTAATGAGTCTGTAGGTTGATATTCACTGTAGTTTATACTCTCTTTATATGGTCTGGCTGTCGTTGATCATGTAGTCAGAAAACAACAAAGATCATTCTTCAATATACACTTATGACGAGCTATGGAGAAAATACTTGCGGACATATCCAACTGAGAGTATCTGTGCCTGGTTGTATCTGTGACTGGGTGTATCTGTGACTGGGTGTAATGGTGTATCCATAATTGGTGAAGCCATACGTGGATATATCTATGACTAAATGTATCTGTTTGTATCCAGGTCTAGTGGTATCCATGATTGGGATAGCTATAAATGGGTATATCTATGACTGGATATGTCGCTGACTGTTTGTATCGAGGTCTTGGGGTATCCATTTATGGGTGTATCCATGAATGTTTCTTTCTGTGTCTAGGTATATCCATGTCTAATCTATCCAACCCTGGTTGTATCCATTCTGGTCGCATTCCAAACTGATTGTACATTTATTGAGACCACAGCAGTCATATAAATCAATCTTAACACCTGACAATGCAATATCCCCATTATATGGAATATCAGGATGAGCTGATGTAATTATTCTGATCATTCTTAAACCCAACAGACTCACCACACTTTTCATGAAAAAACAAAAATATCTATTATAATCAACATAAATCAGAATCATTATGGGACACCCATTGAGACTAAACCAGTATGACAATACAGCAATTAGAGTAAGGATATTCCCATATATTCAGGTAGCAAGAGAGCCCATTGGTTTGAGTGTACGCAATCTGAAGTGTACACCCTCTGTAGTGTATGCCCTTTTTGTACACCCTCAGCTATGTACACCCTCTGCTAAGTGTGCCTTCAGGTATGTACACAATCAGGTATGTATGCCCTCAGCAATATGTGCCCTCAGCTATGTACACCCTCAGCTATGTATACTCTCAGGTAAGTCTGCCCTCAGCTATGCATGCCCATTGTCCTCAGGTATGTCTGCCCTCAGCTATGTAAGCCCTCAGGTATGCAGTCTGTAGAGATCCTCAGAGTGCTTCCAACTCATTGATGACTTTAGTGATGGACTTGGCACCTGATGAACCAATACCACTCTGGAAGTACAGAAGTAACAACAATTATTAAGATTGGTATCATAAAACAACTTTAAAACTGTTCATATACTGTAAAAGGCTTGCAGCAACACACTGCCTTAAAGAAAAGTAAAGATACTGTAAAGGATATAGACAAGCATAGGGTTCCTTTTGAAATATTACAATATCGATAATTACAATTCAATATTTAGCTCATGGCATACTTTATGTCTTTTTGGTTTTTAAGATTATTTGGCAAGATGAATTTTCAATTCAAATGGAACAAGACATTTCTGCATCTTCATGCAAAATGATTCCCACAAAAAACTATTCGATATTCTTAAAAATTATCTCTTTTTTTAATCATCATTCTCAAAAATAGGAAATTTGAAACGTGTAGCTCTGAGAAAATGACAGCAGATTTGATAAAATCCAGTTTCACCTGCTAAAGGTTGGTTGCTTAAATTAATTCTCTGACATCCAGATAAGAAATGTTTATTCAATACAGAATGACCTAACAACCTCTTAACCAACTAAACAAAACATCTCACCATATGAAACAAGACTATGAATTACTGCATATTGTACCTAAAAGGTATGAATTACAGGATTATAATTTACTGGATCTCCTTAAAAGCAACAGAATCATAAATCTGTCTCCATATGTCGTATAAATAAGCAGCTCAATTTTTTTCGTGATTTATACCACCCTGGTGTTTTTAAGCTATGATAAAATTGAATTATTTAGGGCGGTAGTCACCTTAGAGGGGGTTTAACCAGTTACAGGTGAGGTAATTAGCGTCTCAGGTGAGATATTAGATCACTAATGTGATTTAATCTAGACAGGACTGCATTTTTTATCGACACCATTCATCAAATCATGCTGAATTAATACACATTAAACCACAAACTTTTCAACTTCAATTTACAATTTTCTTCCTAAAAGGCCTACATTTTATCGAGATATGACAAAGCCGTTTATTGATTAGGTAATTTTTACATCTGCCACATCCATCTTTTCAAAATAAGCTATTCGATAATAAAATATTTTAAGTGTTTTTTATGGGATGTCTTTGGAGGCAGAATAGCCATTAAAATTTTTACTACATCTCCAACTAACTCAATGTAACACGCAATTTAACTCTTCATCATCACCAGTGTAAAAAATGTGCTCTTTACACATCAATAATTAAAACTCTTAACAAAAGAACAAATATCCTAGAAGCCAAAAGTGCGAAAACGATATCAATAAAACTCAGTGGAACCGTGGAACCTGAACCAATGCCATCGATACCCACAAAAACCCATTGAAAAATATTTTTGACGCAAAAGTGTTAATTGAGGAGTTGCGTGTATATTAATCAGCTATGTTTCTTTAATTACTACATGATTAATTACCTGGGGACTGTTATTGTTTCAGAAGCTATTTTTCATAAAAATTGCATACAAAACCTATTACCGCCTACTTGGGGTCCCAAGTGCAGTACAGCTATCATAGTTTTAATATTGCTTTAACAGTCAATAAAGTGATGGATGGTTATATCTTGTTCAGGAAGTATGAAGCTGAAGGGGGTACCTGTCAAATGTATTGTTGATCTCAGGTTTTTAAGTTATTGTTCCACTCATCTGATGCATTCATGTCATGTAAGTTATTACATAGATTAGACCTTATCTTCCATATAATGAATGGTTCAAATAAACTTTCTAATAAATAAACCAAGATAAGATCTGACATAAAATTCATCAATTTTTGGGTTAAATTATTTATGAAAACAATTTTTTAGAAGTCATTTTTCATAAGAATTGCATACAAACCTTTTTTCAGGAGAATATGTTTCTTTATAAAAATAGTCATTCTCAGATTTTACCTTATATTTGACACCAGTTGTGAAAATTGATTAAATACAGAATCTATAGATGAGGATAACATTTTTATTATGAGACCAGACTAGCTCTGTTGGACCTTCTAATTTTGCTGATCCCAAAACAACTAATTGCAAGTATTATCTGTGAGGGTATCAATACAAGTAGGGTTTGATGAGGTTACCCACTTTTTCCCCACAATTCTTGCCAATTCCCCCCATCCAACATTTTGCAGTAGAATCAACTCAACATAAAATCATTATTCTAAATATAAAGTTACATTATTGCTTTTGATTTCTTTGTCTATTTGGTGTATTGATTGCCCACTTTAAAATGAAGCATTACAATAAATATATGAAGGTAATGTTATGAGAGGTTTTGGATATGGGGTATATCCCGAGGGAAATATAAATACATGTATTGAGCATCACATAACTAATTTATCCTATGATAAGTGAGGTTTCACAAGTGAGTGAGATTTTCAGGACACCCAAATCAAAGTTTGTTTTCTTTAGTGTTCTCAGTTCCAATATTTCTGAGAAATCCATAAACATTTTGGTCAAGAAGATTTTACCATCTGCTGCATCCAATTTGAATGTTTCGTCTTTGCAAGATATTCTAACAAATTAACAACACTGAACAAAAATGTTTTCTCTGGAATATTGGAGCGGGAGATATATATATGTGACGCTATCCCAAAATATCAATTCTATATCCCGCTGTTTTGTACCTGAAACCTCACTTGTCATAGGATAATTATATATACAGGGTGTCCCGAAAGTATGGGGCCCCCCCCCCCTAGGCAGACATACACCAATTTTCCCATAGTATGTGTCATATATCATTTAAAAGCTTATCCAAAGTTACATTGATTTGCCAAGTATCATCGTTCAACTTACAAATGGGAAAAAGTTAGAGGCAGTTCAAAACTTAGTGTTTGGCCAAAATTAAAGTTAAAATCAGTATCCTGGAAACACCACTAACCTGAATGTGACCAAAAATATGGGTGCTATCGTCAAAGAGAGGATGGACATTGAGTTGTAAAAGAGGTCGGCAAATGCAGATACTCCAACTCTTCTAAAATGCCTTAAAAAGGTTTTATGAGGATTATAAAATGCCATACCCCTATTTCAAGTGCATTTAAGGTCATATCTGGAAAGAATTGCTGCTGTTAACATGGCCAAGGGAGACACGCCAACTATTAATTTTGTGTAAAACTAAACTTTAATTTTGGTAAAACACTACATTTTGAAATGCGTGTAACTTTTTACCGTTTATGAGTTGAACCATGATACTTGGCAAATCAATGTAACTTTGGAGAAGCTTTAAAATGATATATGACTCATAGTATGGGGACATTGGTGTATGTCTGCCTAGGGGGGGGGGCCCATACTTTTGGGACACCCTGTACATGAGACTCCTCTTCCTTCAAAACATGGAGAAAAACAGTAAAGGGAGTTTAACTGAATTGAAACTGAAACAATTCATTCATTGCTTCATTTAATCATGAACTCAGTTTTCGTGATTCATTTCTTTTAGATTTGCAGCAAAAAAAGATGTCAGCTTAATAACTAATCTGTTCTTAGGCACAAGAAAACAGAACAGCAAAGCAACTGTAAAACGAAAACCACCAAATAGTATAGTAATCCACCTGAGTTCCTGGACCACCCTTTCCAGTATTCATCCCCCATAAATACACTGATTGGAAATATATGGTGGGAGGGGAAGTGGTCAGTGACATGTAATTTAAAAGTACTTATAGAGGATAATTTGATTGAACAGCTCTAGTTATTGAAACTGTGCTATTTTATGAGACATTTAGATGAGAAACATGCAAGGACAAATCCATATGTTCTGATTAAAGTTCTCTCATTTCCTGGAGGTGAATGCTCTAACTAAATCCAATATTCTAGTGTTTAGCCTTTTTTATTATAGGACGACACAATTTTTGTCTTTCTTATTTAAGGCCAATTGTCTAATTAAAGAAACAAAAATATTTTTGCCAAAATACAAGACATTTTAAGACATTGGTTTATCTTAATATATGATAGTACATGCATAAAAATGTTCAACCTGAATGTGTTTCTAATATTTAATGCCTCTTTAACATGAACACTCTCACTAGGCCCATTTATATTCCTCCCACTGGCTCCAAAGTTAAATCCTATGATGAAAAGCAAATAACTCAAACAACTGTTGCTGTTAGTTGAACACCGACCCAAGCCTGGGCCAGAGCAGAAGTTTCACAGAATCAGGCCTGTATCCAACTTTTGCCAAAACAAAATTCCAGGGGGAGTTCAAATTTGACATCTTTGACCCAAAATCACTTGAAAAGTGCTTGAAATGGTGAAAAACTACATACTTCGCTTGTACCCCCCCCCCCTCCCAAATGACACCTGCCTACAGGCCTGAGAATTCATACTGTATTTACACTGTCTCATATATATTCCAATGTAAGATATACTCACAGTTAGGTTCATGAATCCCAGGAACTTCTTCAGGATGATAACCATAGGTTCAAAGTCTCCATCCTTCAGGCAACTACGTACTTGAGCTATCTTAGCCTGAAATAATACAGGAGATGTATGAGTAAAAAATCACAGTTTAGGCACTTGATGTACATGATGAAATATTATGAGGCTCTCTTGTGTGAATAAACATGGGTGTAGACCTTTTTGTACTACTAATTCTCTAGATATAAAATACCTTTACTGAATGATTTTCACAAAGACTCCCAAGCAAGCATATTACTTTTCAGTTTTGTACTTCAAGGCCTCCATAAGGTATCAATAAGTACCATCAAAGGATCTTTTCAAACACATTATTAACAGGTTTCTAATCCAAGAGGGTAGTGGTGGGACTCGCCACCAAAATCTCTACTCGAGTAGAATGATAAATTTGACGATCGAGTAGACGATTTTGGCGATTATTTGACAAAAAATTAGAACCTGGAAAATCAAGGCATTTGTCACTACTTACATCGACTTTTGGTTTAATGACCACTCAATGATGTAGTTCTGAACGGATTGGGTTCCGTTTTGGATGTTTTAGACGCACATTTACCGTATATTAGCGATGATATAAGCCTTTTATAGATTTTTTCGACTTTGAAATTCCCACTTCCGTCAAAATACATATGCGCATGCGCATACGATATACCGGATGTAAACAAACATAAAATGCGATTCTCATACGTTATTCTCATCAAATGACCATTAAATCAACAAAACAATCGGCAGAATATAGTCAGAAGTATGTAATTTATTAGAAAAACGTAAAGGCAGCTACATTCCTTGCTTAAATCGTGAGTATGGAGGGTAAATCGCGATTTTTCTCAGAAATTTTCAGGATCACGATTTTCAAATTTTCAATCGATTAATCATTTTTCTAGGCTCATTCGAGTTCTAGTCGATTACCCGAGTCACTCGTTACACCACTACAAGAGGGATTGCAAAATATTGACCTCATAAAATTCAAAGTAACTATAAGTCATTTACGATAGTTTTTCATAGTTTTTGTCATGGTTCAACTGAGTTCACTGTAAAAGGCTATTCCTTACATAATGGTATAACTGCAAGAATTTAGTACTGCCACTCTATTTGGTTGATCTTTCAGTGTGAACAGTAAAAGGTGTATGGTGTTTTGAATGGTATGGTTCAGCAAATAATTATTCATCTAGCAAGAACTGAGAAGTAACTACTGTGTACCTTATTGTTCTGTATAAGACATCCAACCAGGAGACCAACATAGGCTGCAACTATACTATCTTCCATGTGCTTCCCTGCTTTGTGCAGTGCTGAAACAACATGATACAATTGTACATGACAATATATGCAAGGCTCTATAAACATAAAATACATCCATAAAATACATTCATGGCAATATTTAAAAACATGACAATATATACATGACAATATATTTATGACAAGGACATCAAACAAAATTGAATTTTTCAAAAATCCTACTATTATGTTTTACATGACAAGTAAATGAAAACACAGAATGAAATTCTGTGCCAAAGTCAATTCACTATCCTAGTAAAATGGGCAATGATTTTTCAAACATATTTTCTTTTTTTTGTATAAACTTGAAACATCAAAAATTGGCATCACAAATGACATTTACATGAAGCAAATGAGGATCCATTTTTATCAAAACATCTACTTTTAATACTATCAACTATTTTCTGGTAGGGGATAATGTGAAGATACTTTGAAATTAAATACTATCTGTAAAGTTTATGAACCAATACATCATATGGCATGTTGTACTCAAAATATTATGTTTATCCATGGCAATCCAAAAACATGTCTCTATTTACTCGCGTTAAACACAAAAATATTGAAATTTACCTTTCTTAAGCATATGTTGTTCCTCTTCACTGGTACTGCCCATGACATCCACCATATCTTCTTTCTTCTTCTCCAACTCCTCAGCCAAGCCATCATCATCATCTTCATCCTCCTTGGCATTGTCAGAATCAGAGTCAAACTCATTAGGCAGCCATTCAAGTCCACTCTCACTCTCCTTCCATTCTCCACTCTTATTCTTTGACCGTATCTTTGGACCCTCAATGGCCTTTTTCTCTTCTTTCACCTCAGCAGCGATGGATTCAGGGTTGAGTTCTGTGTTACGTGCTGTCTCCTCTCGCTGATTGAATAACTGAAAATATGATGTCAAATGACATTTTATTGTGGTATAGGTATTTCATACAGTTTTCATTCTTACCAATAACACTGAAACTTTTTAATTAGACTCAACCATATATGTTTGTCATTTAATATAGCCTAAAATGTTAGATACAGATTTAAATATCACCAATTTTTCTGATGAGTTATTTCTATGCATGACTGAAATGGGTAAAATTATCAAGCCAAGTATATTATGATTCTACACTAGTTACCTGCATCAGAGCTTCTATGGAATCTATTGTCTCCTCACTAGTGATAGAGTCATATGGTCCTACAGTCTCGACTGAAGCCAGCATTCTACGGTTTATACTGCAATGTTCCACCAGATTTATCATCAGACCCAAACCCTGAAATGCAAAACAACAAATCCTATCTGAAGTTTATCTCAAAGCTTCCACTATATTTTATTTAGTTTAAAGTACTCAGTATGAAAAATTGACCAACTGATATTTAAGTTATTAGGTGATAGATAAGATGGATGATGGATTGTCTGACAGTGAAAAGATAGAATATCCATGTCTACGTTGGTAATCTGCAAAAGGCTAAATCTTTTAATCTGTAAAAGGTTTAATAGTCCATAGTACAGAAAAGTCAGTATAGAGGGTGAGTGCATATCTTGATGAGCCAAAAATGGCACCAATCAACAGGTTTACAAGGTAAAAATTATGACTGGAACCAATTTCTCAAAATCAGGAATAAAAATAGCAGCTGGGTGTAATGGTTTAAATTTCCATTATGGTCCCTTTCTATGGACAAGAGTTCAGATAAATTTTATTTGCTTTCAAGTTGTTGACAAATGGATGGACAGCTTGATGGACGATTTCACTGTCTCACCATGTGAAAAAAAAAGTACTTTTTACAAAATGGACGCTCTTACTGAAGTGACAAGATGGAAGGTTTAAACTGAAGGCAAACACAGATCTTGAAATAAGACTTACCAATACAAGGAGGTCAAATCTCTGATCTGAAGGCACATATTGAGGTGTATGTAGCACACATAACAGTACAGTCTGTAATACATCCTTCTGTTCACCAACCTTGGAGCTACCCCACTCTGTAGAATGAATAAATTAACATTACATTTTAAATTTTGACTCATGAAAGCATGCTACAAATCAATGATATATTCACTTCCAAAAGGACTTGTATTTACATAACATTACGATTATGGGAATGAAAATGAATATAAATTCTTTGTTCGATACATTAATTGATAGACTCATTATTCATGTGTGTTAAATAAATATCAACCCGAAATAAGAAACAACTGAACAAAAGTATTTTTGGTTGAATACAAAACTCAATTATGGCTCAAGATTCCAGTGTTAAACATCAGGCAACTTTTCCTCACCATGCTCGTGTGTTAGATTTAGCAGTACCCTAACATGGTGTTAAATATCACATAGCTTATACTCACCATGGTCATGTGTTAAATTTAGCAGTACCCTCAATACACCTAACATGGTGTTAAATATCACATAGCTTATACTCACCATGGTCATGTGTTAAATTTAGCAGTACCCTCAATACACCTAACATGGTGTTAAATATCACATAGCTTATACTCACCATGGTCATGTGTTAGATTTAGCAGTACCCTCAATACACCTAACATGGTGTTAAATATCACATAGCTTATACTCACCATGGTCATGTGTTAAATTTAGCAGTACCCTCAATACACCTAACATGGTGTTAAATATCACATAGCTTGGAGATTCTTTCTGCTGCTTCTCTTTCTCTACATCAGGAGCTGGGTAGAGAGGCATGCAGTTTTTGCACTTTTTTAACACACTGAAACACAAGACAAAGAAATATGAAAGATACAATAATATCAGACAAGTCTCAAAGGAAATTAGTATAAGATAATACTTTGCTTTTTAGGTTATTCATTAAAAATTTCCAAAACTTTCTTTTTAAATTCAGACAATTATGCATATTAAATCTTTAATTACATCCCATGATCTTTTTGCTCAGAAATCTTAATTCATTTTTTCGGAAAGAAGGATTCTAATGGAAATTCAGGCAAGATTTCAGAAGATTGTTTTTTAACATTTTAGACGACCCTCTATTCCTTTTCATTCCTTTTAAACTTTAGTTTGAAAAATTGCTTAATGAATCACCTGCATAATGCTGTAATGAGCAATGAACTAACATGTTACCATAATTACAAAAAATATTAAAGAGAGAATCAGATATAGTGAGCAGGCTAAACAAAAAATTGTTTCAATTTTAGAATATTTTTGGCTCATGTCATTCCTTGTCATGTCTATTTTCTAAAAATCACAAATGTGCACACTTTATTCCAAGAAAACTAAAGATTTTCACAATAATGTTTTATTTTTCTATAAGAATGGTTACCATTCTTATAATTTAGGAGAATTTAAACATTTTTCGCTAATTTTTTCACTTTGAATCATTAATAACTTCACCAATTCATAACATATTGTGAATCTTTTTGGGAGATATTGTATTTGATATTGTGAGGAATAGATTGGTAGGTCAATTATACATGTTGCTTGTAATTTTATCACCCCCTATAGATCAGATTCTGCCTTTAAATATACTATTGAATTACTAACCTGCATAATGCTGTAATGAGCAATGAACTATTATAGGTTATCAGGTAATGTTGATTATCTGTGTTCATGAATGTTACCTGAAATAACAAAATATAATATTTTCACATTTAGTTAACTTAAGGGGACAAAGTTAAAGATATTTCACATAAATTAAATTTTCACACATAGGTAAGCAAGGTGTGTTTGATTCCAGCCAATCTGAACATGCTTTTTCAAATATTTGCATGCTATTATATAACCAACAATTCACCCACCCACCCTGTTGTTTTGTAAAAGCAACACTCGAGCATGTTGTGCAAATTTTGGAAAGCAACACCTTGAAGTCCAGGGCTTAAATCCTTAAATGAAATACTGATGAATGACATCAATACATCTAAACTATGGATAGAATGAATAGATGTCACTGGGGTAAACCCAAAAATGCAATACCAGCATTCTTATTTCATAGTTTCATACTGCTTATCTGAACAATACAAGATTATACTGGTCTGATAATAGTTCATACTTATTGTTTAGAAGACTACTTTGAAAGAATATAAGAAACAAGGAAGGAAAAAACTTACATTTTCTAATACCCTGAGACACCTGTCAACACGCCGCAACTTTTCAAACTTTTGCTCTTCCAATTCCTCTTCTTCCTCCCCTATAATCTCTGATGATTCATTCACTATAATACAAATGAAATAATCTCTTCACATTTGTGTTTAACAGGGACGACTGACAGTGTATAAAGTTAGGTGTTCTTTAATCTATAGTTCATTTACTATGATGTCATGATTTCAATTGTTGCAACTATGTATTGAAGTTTTTTTGCAGCTAATAATGTTCTGGCAATCCACTTTGTTTACATCAGTTTTTTTTTTATAGATTAACAATTTATTTCATCATATAAATATTTTCATACATAATAGCTTGCCAATCGCCTTACTGGTATTATAGGCTAAGCTGAACAGCATATTAAGTACAAATGTGAATGTATGCAACAGGAAAGCATAAAGGCAAGATATTTAAAAAGGTGGGAAAGTCAGTCATAAACCTCTAATGAAGGACCCACGGTCCTGTGCTCACACAGTTTGGAAGCTTCAGAGGAATGTATATCCTGACTTTCAAACAAAAATATTGATTTGGATTTGTAGTCTCGAACTTTGAGAAACTTAGATAGCATAGTTGTGTGACCTAGTTTGATGACCTTTGGCCTTGAAAATGTTACTTATTCAGAGCTCAGTAAGGTCTTTTGTGATTAAGCTGACCAAAATTTACATCCAAAAATCAATTTGAAAAATCAACTTTTTTGACCTTTCGAAGGTCACTGAAGGTCAAGTAAAGGTCAAATCCTATGACTAATGTCAGATTTGAACTCCTGGCAACTTATAGATGATATTCAAAAAAAAATTGGCCAAATTGAAGCAAATTGAAAAATAACTTATTTTTACTGTTTTTCGACGTCAAATATCTCAAAAAGGTAAAAATTTGATGCTGACATATTGAGCAATATGTACGGAATGCTTAAATCTAGTAATGATGTAATTTATTGCAGGAAATGATCAAGTATAAGGCAAACTTTAAGAAACTTGTCAATCACAAAACCTGCCATTGACTTTATACATGAGAAAGGTTCCTGAAATTGACAGTCCTACTTTTTGTCAAATTTTATAGAGTAAACACCAAAAACCGTAATTCCAAGAGCTTTGAAATCTTCAGAGGACATAAGTTGCATGTACAGCAACTACCAAAAATTATTTGAAAGTTATTCTTCAACAAAGTGTCTAGTATTTAAAGAAAATTTGACTTTTTGACGTCAAAATCCGCAACTTGGGAAATGGCGATGATAGGTCAAATAGGCATTATGGATATGCATAAAATGAATGTGGATACGACTCAATCCGAATAGCAGTTTTAATTTGTGCGGCCAATGTTGACGGACGGACGGACAGACGGACCAACGGACAGACTGACGCCTGGTCAATCCCATAGGCTCACTGTGTGAGCCAAAAATAAAGAGAATGTGTATTCAGCAATAGGGTAACGGTTTTTGATGGGTTTAATTCTGGATGGTTACGATAGGCATCAATAACAAACAATCCCCCTATTTGTAGATTATCCTTCATATTTCATTGTTTTCGTCATGTTTTTGATACTATTAAACTTAGTTCTCATTAAGAAATATGATTCATGAAAATTTCAAGGAAACAAAGCAAAGTTGTGGTATACCAAAATCAAATAGTAACAAAAGAAATATCTCCCACATCATAAAATGCTGACTTCTCGACACTTAAAAATATATCATTTCTGACACTTTGACCAAGTATGGATCACTACTCATAAATTGTTCTACAGATGTCAGTATGTGGTTAACCAAAATGAGCAATTTTTGATTGAACTCTCAAACGTGAAAATTCAGCTGAAATCTAATTTGACATCACTATGAATACAAATCAAACCATGAAATATCACTTTTTAAAATGATATAATTAGTAGCTTGTGACCAGTAATAAGAGTTTTCATTTGTATAATCTTCAAGTATTTCAGACCTATATTATATGGCTTAATATGACAAATTGAACTATATGTACCTGTTTCTACAATGCGGTCTAAACCACTTAATTCCCTGAGTTCATCTTTGAACCAATCACCCGCTTTCCTGGAAGTGAGGCTCAGGAGAGCATCCATTGCAAGTGTGCCCGTCTGAAAGTAAGATACATGTATATGGCTTTTTGAAAACCTATCAATTTATCAATTGAGGGGACCTAATGTTTTATGGGAGATATTAAATAGTCCTAAGTATGCATATTATGGGAATATTCAATCTTTTAAGTTTCAACCTCAGTTAATTGTTGAATGTACGATTTCATTCTACTTACTGATATATCATTGAGATCTACGTTCTTAGCAGCGCCCTCTTTTTGCATCTCTTCAATAATAGCCCTTATCTTCAGCCGAGCTTTATCATACTCTTTCGTAGCAGCTTTAGTTTTCTCTGTGGCTGTCTTAGCATCCACATTGAGTAATTGCAACATGAGGGTGAGCGTCTGTTTCTCCAGGTCCATCGTCAGCCTGTCTCTACTCAGCATAAACATCACAGCTGAGGTGGCTAGAGCCAGACTCTGAATGCATATTACAAAACCATTAATAAACTTAAATAAAAATGCTGTGAGGGGTGAAATATTTTACTTAAGCAGCAATTTTCATATTACCAGTCGATCAATGGTCACCTTTCACCATCAAACATATGGGCAATCTATGGTGCCATAACTGTGTCAAAAACGAATCCATCGAACTTTGATGTATGGGTTTACTTCATCATTTGGATATTTCAACATCCAACAATGGGGTTATTCTGGCATAATTTCAAAACAGTCCGCCATGTTTGTTTTTTTGAAAATTTTAAATAATAAATGAAGTCTCCAATGGACAAGACCTTAATCCAAGATGGATGAACCCCAAAATTTAAATTATTGGCCATGGTCGAAAAAATGAGTCACCCTATGTGTATTATGTTCGAAAAATTCCAGTAAAGTTACTGCAAATCTATAGGACAAATCATGACCCATTAGGCCTCATTTTGTTTTTCCAAATATCGGAGTCTGAAAATCAGCTTTAGTTTTCTCTGTGGCTGTCTTAGCATCCACATTGAGTAATCGCAACATGAGGGTGAGCGTCAACCATACTGCAAAGTGACTATCAGATTTTCGAAAATGACTAATGTGATCAAACCCCCTTTGTGCCTACAATACCCATCAAACAAAGTATGAATAAGAGATCTGTATGAGGACAGCAAGCAACTCAAATCTTAGGACCACCTAATCCCTAGAAAGTAAAATGTGAAAATCTCAAAACAGTAAAATCATATTCTAAATTCACTCTAAAACCGACTGTAAACAAGTTTCGTTTATTAACACATTGTCTGTGTAATAAATTCAACATTGTTGCTTTTTAATATCAACAAGTGAACATATTAACAAGTGAATTATTACATGTAATATCAATATTGTACTCACAGAGAAAGAGCATGCATCGTGTAATGCATTGAATACTTTGCCAATAGTCCCATGAGCACGTAGATGCCATCTGAACGTTGACATGGTACATTTCTGAGCCAAACCTACACAACTGAAATCGGAGAACAACATGTTTGTTGGTTTAAATGGTACGAACTGTAAATGGGTCTCTTATTTCTGAGGCATTGTACAGTACTAGAGTCATTGAATCTACTTAGCCAGGGTGCTCGCCTGGCTTTTAGACTGTGGCACAGCACCGCAGGCGATTTAGCTGCAACCACAACCTACTGGCAAATATCAATCCTTCCCACAGTCTAGACTTGACTGAATACACAATTACAGCATGTAAAAAGGACAAAATATAACATAAATACAATTTATCAAGATTGAATGGTTATGCTGAAGATGTTTCCAACACACCCTAAATATTTCTTGGTGAGAGCCCTGTTAGCAGTACCAAATTGAATATGGTTGAACCTGCAGTAATTCTTATGATTACCCAAATTACTTAGAATAGGCTCTACAGTAAAACTTGTCTAAGCGTAACACCTTTTGTACCTCTAAAAGTGTTCCACTTGAGAGGTGTTCCACTAATAGAGGTTCATTTCACATTAAGTCAGTTGATCTTGGGACTCTGAAGTGTTCCAATAACAGAGGTGTTCCAATTCTAGAAGTGCTCCACTCTACAGGTTTCAATGTACATGGAACACCCTCAGTCTGCCCAAAATTGTATTTTGTTAACAAGACCAACATGAGTTATGAATGGCTGAACGCTACAGACAAAGCAACATTTTATTAAGAAAACTTTGGTATATATTAATAGGGAGGTTAAAGTAGCACTGTTTCGAAGAATGTTTTGTGAACATTTTTCTTAGTGACCTTTATGTCTCCAATTGAATGTATGAGGAAAATAGTCATTATAAGGTCCCCATATGAATAAATCAGAGGGAGACAATAATTCCTTGGGTCATAATATCACACATTCACATTCAAGTTCTTCCAAATACAGAATATGTAGCTCAGTGATCTCCCCAGGATTTTTTCTCAGGTGGGTGCAAGATTCTCATTTTCATAATTCAGACCAAAATTGGTCAAAACATGCCAATTTTCATGATTTTTCTCATTTTCAAGTGGGTGCAAATGGATTTTCAGGTGGGCGCAAGCCTATTTTCAAAATCTCAGGTGGGTGCGGCGCCCACTCGCTTTAATGCTGGGGAGATCACTGTAGCTTAATCTCTCAAGTATCAAGCTGCTCATTACCTTAGACACCTAGTGAAGAGTGATTCAGTATCCTTTAAGCCATCAAGTATGTATTCCACTTCATCAAAGAACTCCTGAGTTTCTCCATGTTCTTGGCACTCTTGAGCTTCTTTTACATTGTTCACCACAGTATACAACTGGAACAAGATTCAAAAGTTGCAGTAGGTTTAAATAGGATATTTGAGGGACATTTAATATCTACCATGTACAAGAATGCAATCTTCAACCACTTGTTGCAGTAGGTTTAAATATAAGGTTATTCAAGGGACTTTCAATGCTTACCATGTACAAAACTGGAACCTTCAATCACTGTGCTCTTGATATTTTCTTCATAGACCTTAATCTTATGTGAGATACAAAAGGGAAATTCATTGCTGAGTGAGATAAGTATTATTGAATCACAAGAAGGAAACCTAATGTGCTGACTACTAAAGCATCACAAATTTCTTTTAACATGTGCACTCATTTCCCATAATGCACTTTTCTCAAACATAGAAATTCTTAATTCCAATAGATTTCTCTCTTTCCTCATGAATTCTTGAAAACTATCAGAAAATCATTTCAGAAAACATTCTCATGACAAAATCATCATGTGTGACCTCTGAAAAAACAAGGGATTCTGTTTTGACAAGATTTTGGATTTCAAGTTGAAAAGTTCGAACCTAAGGAAACTTCAATTAAATGAATAATGGAACACAATTAACATATTTTCATTATTTTTTGTTCCTGAAAATAAGCAAATGAATTTACCTCTTTATGATGTCTTGATATCTGTAGTTTACTGACAGCTTCCGGATCGCCATATTTTGCTTTTGTGGGCCAGGTCACTGTTCGTTTTAACTTTGGGGGTTTACTGTATGACTTGAGGGATGGTAGCTTGTTAAGCTCCCTGTCAAAGTCATCGGCAACTCCATTACCCTGAGATTGGCTGGATTTAATGGACTCAGCCTGAAATAAAAGAGAGGTACAACTAAAAGAAAGTGATAAACTAAAAAACTTAAAAAATTTGTTCAAAAATCAAATCTCCATTGTCGTATCTTAATTCATGAAGGGACAAATATAGTGAATCAATGCGAAATATTGATCGGAGTCTGTTGATTCTGTAAGCTATAAATACATATTATTATGAATTAAAATAGCTTATGGTTATTTAGGATAAGAATTACAGCTATTGGCCTATCAATAAGTCAAGTCACATGATAGATTGTATTGCAGTTTTGATTTGGTTTACTTGGATTAAGCTACTTGGATATGATATCCATCCTCGGGGATATGATATTTATCTTGTCCCAAATTTGTGATATTTTACCTGTTGCTCCTCATCATCACCATCGTCCTCAGCACCACCTTTCCATTGTCTGGCATTGTAGGATACCTTTGATTGTGACTGCAATAACAACACTCAAACATTAACACATACAATTACTATAATATACAAAATTATTGTAGACTTTGATGAGATTTCCAAGCAGTTAAGCAAAAGGTCAACATATATTGTTAAATATCATAAAAAAATGTACTGACTACAATAACTTATTTCCCTATAAGTGTGTAGATAAAGGCTTCATACAAGACTAACACATGTTAGCTGAAATGATAAAACCTATCATATCTATATCATTACAACACATGTGGCATTAAATTTATAACAGAAATAAAAATCAATAATGTCAATTTTTGCAACATGCCGTCACTTGAGAATGAGATATAAATGATATGAAATATTAAACAATCTACAGAGCTATGAAGCATGCCGTCAAGCACTGAATTCTATATGTCATGTACCTTTTTAGGGCTGAAAATTTTGCTGGATCTTTGGCCACCCCCTTTTTTGGACAATACTGATGTTTTTCTGTCATCATCTCTCAACTGAATTATTTTATTAAACCTGAGTTTAGGTTTCTGTTTCAGTTCAGTTGATTCTATCGAATCAGGACTGGCAGGTTTTTCATCATCTGTATCAACATTAGGTTCACTTTCATCATCAGTGGACTTGTGACTATTGACCTCTACAATATCGCTGTCATTATCAGTACCAGTAAGTTTAGCATTGTTCTCTTCTATTGGAGTGTCACTATCACTTGTGCTCAATGATAACAAGTTAATACTATCATTCATGGAATTTTTCTTCAGATTATTCTCAGGAATTGGGGAATGGGTTGTTATGTTAACTGAATCTTCTTCACTGTCACCTAGCTCCTGGCTGCCTCCTAATATGGGAGCACTTTTGTTTCTAGACAAGAAGAATTTCTTCGTATATGTTTTTCTTATTGGTGGCTTTGTAATCCGTTTAGTTGGGCTAAGATCAATCTGCTTGAACTTTGCAGGCTTTGACATTTTTAATGGCGATAATGTTGATTTTAAGGATGATATTGATGAGTATGATTTTACACTACTAGATGATTGTGAGGAATTTGATTCAGACTTTTTTGAGGTGTATATACTAGTTCCTGATTTAGTTTTCCATTTAAATTCTACTTCTGAGTCACTGTCACTCATGTTTATATCTGTATCTCGTTCACTGTCTGAAGACTTCTTTAAATCTGGATTTCGATTATATGAGTGGTCTGAATATCCACTACTTGTCTGTGAGTTCTTCTGGGGACTTCTGGATTTCTTACTTTCTGGACTTGAATAGCTATGGTCATTTATTGTATTTGAGTAAAATTTTCTTGTAGGACTTAAATTGGCAGGGCTAGTCCTAGGACTTGATTTTCTCTCAGGGCTTTGGGAGGGACTTTTGTTGTTATTGACGATCCTAGTAGGACTTGTAGAGAGTTTGAAAGCATCTTCTATTGACAGCTGTCTTTTGTGATCCTTTGGGTTATCTTTGGAATTCTTGATGGGCCGGCTTAGAGTTTTCCAAGGCTTAGAGTTAGTTTTCTTCTCATTGGTACACTTCAATGAAGTTTTACTTTTTTGTTCTTCTATGGGCTTTTTGTTCTTATTTGTTTCTAAAGTTTTCAATGTAGAATTGTTCCTACTTGGGAATAAACTAGAGCCATGATTTGTTTTTGACACTTTAGAAACCTTAGGTATTGTTTTAACAGGTGAAGCTTTACGCTTCTTTGGACTTGAACCATCAGTTTCCCCAAATGAAAATGGATCTGCTTCGCCAAATGATTCTGCTTTCTTCTGAATGATATCATCCTTCCTTGCACCATGATAGGAAGTCTTCCCCCAACGTGAATATTTATAGGACTGAGGACTTGGAGGAAGAGTTTCTGGCTTCTTGACATTTACTATGTCATCCCATGATGATCCTACAGTCACTTCCGATTTATTTGGTCGACTGTATGTCTTAGTACCCAGCCGTGACATCTTGAAGCTTTCTGAAACAGAAACCAATCAGAATTGACAAATCAATCCACCTCCTATGTACTCGGTTTTAAATTACACTAAAAAGTTGTCTGAAGGTTAATCATAGACATTGAAAGACTCAAACATGTATGCTACTCATGAATAAAACAGTCATGAATTATTTAAGGAATAAATAATGATAGACAATTCAATATGGTGAAATTCATCACAAGTTGGACAGAATGTGATACAAAGCATGAACAGAAGGTGAGTGCATTTGTCCTGACATTCTGTCAAACGAGTGATCACCATATTGAAAGGCCTATCATTATTTATTCTGATTCGAACAGAAAAAAATAAAACATTGTTCTGAAAATTGAGGTCCATGAAATAACCAAACTTCCTGTTACTTTTACCATTCCCATGATATGTGACGTCGCAGTTCAACACAATACAGAGATTCCCGGATGATTGAATAGATGAATGTATGGAGAATTAGAGAACGACTACACTGCATTCTGATTGGTTGAGAAATTCACTACATAAGAAGAAGAATCTACTAAAATACTCTGGACCTTATTGAGGTAGGTATTAGGTGAATGAGACAGGATTATTCTCTCATGCTATAGTCATACAGGCAAAAGATTGGGAGTGGGACATTCTCAGGACTATAGGCCTAGTCCTGGCACAGGATATGCTTTTTTGGTATCAAAATTGGCGTAGGTTTAGTGACAGTGGAATGAAAATGAAATACCAAGAAGAGGGGCCTCAAAATGTCTCGGGAATCTGGCTCTTAGAACAATGGACATAATCCAAACCCAGCCTCGTTTAACATTATACGCTGACTAAATAGGATAATGGTTTGATCCGGAACTCGAATTCATTTTCTAGAAAATCAAAATTTCGACAAAAAGACACTCTTATGTAGATGCTCATATTGTAGAATTAAATCTGGGAAATGCATTATATTCTTTAACTATATATTCTTATACTCACAGGGGTTGGATGTGGTAGAATTTCGCTCTAAGATTTAACGTATTTGTACAAGATATTTGACATTTTGTATCATTAGTTAGAATTTTCTTTCAGCGCCATTTTAGCAAATTTAAACCCTGACTGCAATGCGCATGCGCAGATGGTAAATCAAAAAAGCTAATATTCGATTTCTCCTTAAGAAAGAAAATATTTTCGTATTTAGTTCATGATGATTTAGAAAGATGGCAGCACCTCCTTGACCAATTATGGAATTTCATACAACTTTCAGGCTGCTTTTTATAGACTTTAGTATTTCAATTATGAACAATCTAACCAAAGCAGCCATTATTTCAGGGAGTTAAAGTCAATAAATATTCTCTCAACAATTTGGTTCAGATCTTTATTTAGCTTTCCAAGTATCTTAGCATCGCTCAAGATCAATAGATTGAGTATTTATCCACATTAATACATTTCAAAGTTTTTGAATGCCTTGGTTAAAGCTATTGTGAACCAACTGAGGGGATCATGGTACTTGTGTTGAGAACATCAGGTTCAATTTTTCAAATGATATATTTAGTTTTTAGGGGTTATTTTATGATTTGTGTTTTCAATATGTTGCCCTTTGTTCTATCTTATGATATTTTGATTGATGAATAATCAATATACTTGACCTAATTTCATTTTTGATGTGTTCATAATTGATAAATGTAACCATTTCCATGTTATTTTCAATGAAACCTTTGGGGGCATATTTAGGTGCTTGGGGTAATGGATCCTTTATCATCTGCACTTATTAGAAAGAGGCAAGGTTACCCTGATTGAAATGCCTAGAGATAGGTTTTGTTGAAGGGACAAAAATGGTAACTCACACATAAGTTAGTAATAGGACCAGTAGGTATCTGACTTGAGGAACAGTATGTCCATGGTAATGATACCAATAAATAAGTATAATGCTTTTTAGTTAATTTCTGTTATTATTAGACTACAGTTAGTACACACTGGATTGTTAATCATCCTTATCAGAATTTTTTCAATTAAGGTGGACCTTTGCGGCTCAACGTACAGTGAAACCTGTAAAATGGAACACCTCTAAAAGTGGAAAACTTTCGTAAGTGGAACACTTTTCAGTCTCAAGACCAATTGACTTAATGTTAAATAAAAGTGGAACACCTCCCAAGTGGAACAATTTTATAAGTAAGAATGGTGTTCCACTTAGACAGGTTTTACTGTACATCTTTGCAAAAGACCAGATTAGTCCATCCACCCTGCCTACCTAGATAAAACTTTTTAAACAGTTACAGCATAGAAGAAAACAATAATTATTTAAAAATGTTATGACAAATTTTATTAGATTACAATACAGTCTTACATACAAATATAGTATACTGTACACTTTTATTTGATGAAGGAATATTACATATTAATCACAAAATCTGATATTATATTGTATTAGACAAATGTCCATGCACATGGTAGCATTCCTACAAAAAGCACTGGATTGCAATTAAAATGTATCTAAGGCTAAATGTAGTCTCCAAATAAAGGCCTGTTACAGCAAACTTTTAACAATTTACAGTACGAATCAAAGCTATATGTCTAATCATTAAAAATTAAATTAGTTAATTTTAAATTAAAGGAATACAATATAATACAATTATTTTACCATTTCATTTAAATCAGAAATCTAAACAAACATTCATATCATTTGTAGCCATTCTGCAGGTGTATGGCTTGATTTCATTCATTAATCTGCTTCTGCTTTTTAAATATCATAATCTCACTATTTTCATTGTTTTCCCAAAGCCTAAAGAACAGCACATCGTGGATAACACAACAACATTATATCTAATCAAACATGTACATATTTGAGCAAAATTGATATCTTGCATGGGGATACTTAATACATAATTACATGTAAAATACATAAAGTACAATAACACTAAAGGGGGAGAGTCCAAAAATTATTCACAATAAACAAATCATCAAAATGCCACACCAACTTTACTGACGAGAAATATATGTCTGAATAAATGCACAAAAGATGAATAATCATTCTATACCATCATTTGCTGATAAAATACTTTATTTGTTGACAGTCTCTTAGTCTAACTTCTCGCAATGAAAATGAAAATGCCATTATGATACATATCTAAAATTACATCATTTTATGCTTTAAATAATAATGTTTCAAACATTATTGATTTCAAAGTAATAGGCAATATGGCATTCACCAAAATGAAATGGGTTCAAAATTAAAGTAATTCACAATATTTTGCTTAAATCAATGGTCAGCTATATTAAATAGATGAGCCTACAGAGTTATGAAAGACCAATGCATTTTCTCCAAATTATAAAAATTTTGTGTCTAATTCTAAAATGTTACACTACTGTCTAATAGTATTGCCACTAGATACACAAAGATATTGCTTTAATTTTCTTCTGTGTATTGTTATTATTCATGAGGACGAAATTCTAAAATGCTGCTATTGGTTGGTCCTGAAATCTTCGTAATTACCCCTACACTGGAGAGTTGCACAGATCGTCTACAAACTGAAAATAACACGTACAATATTCATTTTGTTTGATCATCCGAAATCTGACATATTCTTTCTAAATCAACTTATGTATATACAACGTGATATATGCCTGAGTTCTGCCAATATAGGCTTACCTTGGGAGGCCCAATATTTTAATTAGAAGGAATGCATAATCTATGTCATGGTTACTACAAACAGTGAAACCTGTATATCTGAACACCTCTCTAATCCGAACAACTCTCAATGTGAACACTTTTCTCGGTCCCAAATTTGTTATCTCCCATTGACTTACAAGTTTTTAAAACCTTGAAATGTGAACACCTGCTTATACGAACACTTATGACTAGTACCAGAGGTGTTCAGATTAGACAGATTTTACTGTACCTTTATCCCCATGATGAATTTATGATGTCACATTGTACATGTATTTGACTGGTTGTACTTACCTAATTGTTCATGTCTGGTGTATTCAAGGATTGTTCATTTGAGCTGCCTTAAAATCAAGAGGGGCTCTCTTGGCTGTATCTGTGGTTGAGTCCACAAACATAGATGGAATGTCATTACCGAAATAGATTTTACTATTTCCTGCAAGAGCCTGGTACTTCTTCATTTCTAAATACTCAGATGTTAAAAGTAGCTGAAAAAATACGACACAACTGATATAAAATGCTTCCTTTTTTTAATGTATTAGGACATTAATTAGCTGGATATAGCTGAAGATTTCACCAAATATATGCATCAATCATAAAAAGCCATCATTTCACGAGACTAAAGTAATACACTGGAAAAAGTGTTAGGAATTGAATATACTTCAAAATAAGCACATAAAAAATATATGTTTATCGGCAAAGTTATTTACTGGAATACCACCTTAAGGAATAAATGATGATAGGCTATTCTGTACAAAGCATGAACCAGTATGCATTTGTACTGATATTCTGTCCAACAAGTGTCGAATTTCACCATGGCATTAACCATGTTAACATGCAAAATGAAACCACCTGTCATTTGTTACAGACATCAAACTCTGAACACCGGATGCCAACACAAATAAGTTGGAGACTATATAACAATACGTCACCACTTATGGTGGAGTCATAGAAATGAAGAAAACATTGTTCAAAGTATTGGGACAGAGGTCCATGAGGGAACCATCTTGCTGTCATTCTCAAGTCAAGAATCATCACTGGTCATCCCAAGTCAGGTCCTAGATGTGACGTCAATACAATGCAGGTTCAAGTTTGCGTCGTTCTCAAGTCAAGAATCATCACTGATCATCCCCAGTCAGGTCCTAGATGTGATGTCAATACAATGCAGGTTCAAGTTTGCGTCGTTCTCAAGTCAAGAATCATCACTGATCATCCCCAGTCAGGTCCTAGATGTGACGTTCAAGTCAAGAATCATCACTATTCATCCCCAGTCAGGTCCTAGATGTGATGTCAATACAATGCAGGTTCAAGTTTGCGTCGTTCTCAAGTCAAGAATCATCACTGATCATCCCCAGTCAGGTCCTAGATGTGATGTCAATACAATGCAGGTTCAAGTTTGCGTCGTTCTCAAGACAAGAATCATCACTGATCATCCCCAGTCAGGTCCTAGATGTGATGTCAATACAATGCAGGTTCAAGTTTGCGTCATTCTCAAGTCAAGAATCATCACTGATCATCCCCAGTCAGGTCCTAGATGTGATGTCAATACAATGCAGGTTCAAGTTTGCGTCATTCTCAAGTCAAGAATCATCACTGATCATCCCCAGTCAGGTCCTAGATGTGATGTCAATACAATGCAGGTTCAAGTTTGCGTCGTTCTCAAGTCAAGAATCATCACTGATCATCCCCAGTCAGGTCCTAGATGTGATGTCAATACAATGCAGGTTCAAGTTTGCGTCATTCTCAAGTCAAGGATCATCACTGATCATCCCAAGTCAGGTCCTAGATGTGATGTCAATACAATTGTATACAAATGCAGGTTCAAGTTTGCAGATTGTAAGATGGACAATCGTTCATCTGTTGAGAATTAGAGATGGGGCTATATCAGTTAAATTTTTTCAAACTCTCAGAATCAAGTGTCTATTTCACTTTTTTCAGAATTAACATGGTAACAACTTAACAGGATGTTTGGTTATTAGATCATTAAACCTCACCTTATTGGACTCTGCTTGTTTCTGGACACTGTAGAAGTCAGCATCTGCCTTAGATTTGATCTTAGCAAGACTAGTGGAATCTAAAACATAATTGTTTCACATGTTTCTTTCACATCACTATGTGGCACATGCCTCTCATATTTCATGTTTAAACTTCACATGTTTCACATATGCAGACCCCAACTGCAAAACTGTAGCTATTCAGAAAAAGCAAAGGCGCTGGTGTTTCTAGTCATAAAAAGTCTGTTAAACAAATATATGTTTATCAAATCAGACCATTCTAGCACAATGTTTTCCATGAATTTGTGTTTTATTGACTTGCATTTGCAGGACAAAATATAGGGAAGGCAAATTGAGGCTAAATGAGGTATAGTCTATACTAAATTTGGAAAAAATGTCTGAACAAATTTTGACTATAAACTTTTGGCGAGGCAATTGCCTCGCCTGCTCCATGCCTGACTTATGACTGTTATCAATGTACATGATCAGTGATCTCCCCAGGATTTCTCATTCACATTTTCACAATTCACACAGAAAATGGTCAAAATATGCCAAATTTTCATGATTTTTCTCATTTTGAAGTGGGTGCAAATGGATTTTCAGGTGGGTGCAAGCCTGTTTTTAAAATCTCAGGTGGGTGTTCCACCAACTTGCTTTAATGCTGGGAAGATCACAGATGATATTTTAAAACTAGTTATACAAAATACCTTCTATTTCTGATATTTTTTTCTGTGATTCTTTCTCCATGATTTTCTGCTCCCATGTAATCTTAGATATGGATGCTATTTTCTCAGCCTCTGAAAATGAATGGAAAATATGAGACAAGTATGACAATTTTAACTCACCCTATATATGATAGACAATATAGCTTCTGTAACTAAACCTTTTTTGTATTTATGTTTGTATTGGCAATGTGCTTTGAATCGATACAGGGACAATAACAACATACCGATAATAGCTTTTTTCCTTTCAGTTTCTGCTTCTTTCTCTACAACCTTCTGCTTCTCATGTGCAATCAGAAGTTTGGTTTTCTCCCCTTCCCTTGAGAAAAACAAACATAACCATAAGCACAATGGATATGCCTTCAGAAATCAAACTGAAGCAGATATGATGAGGAGTTATGCAAAGTAGAGTTCATCAGGCTATATTATAAAATGCAATTCAAGAATGAAGAACTACTTTACAACAAACTCATAGAGCATACCAAAATGACCAACACCAGGCTAAAATATTTTTACATCATGTGGACATTGGTTTAACAATATTTGTTTACTTGAAAATTGGTCTAAGCCAGGTTCACTGAACAGGTTTGTCTATACTCACATTAATTCATAGTTTTTCCTGATCTGTTCTGGAATCTTTGGCTTAGTAACCCTGACTGCCTGTACATATAGACCTGGGGCCATAGTGTTCAAGTCCTTCTGTAGAGCTGTCTTTAGATTCTCATCTATTTGATCTATAAAATAAGACAACAACATTACAATATAGTACTATAGATTAAGATAACAACATTACAATATAGTAGTACCGAATCCTAGTGACACTGACAGCCTATAAAAATTAAATTGAAATCATGAATGACACTAAACTTTTTGCGGTGCAAAAGCCAAAAGAGTTTTTAGGTTTAAGATATTCTTAATTGTGATTTATCTGCAGAATCAACAAATCTTATCTAATCTTGATGGTTGTCAAATTACTACAGAGGCCACTTCACTATGACATGCCAACTGGGGCCCTTAATCAAAAAGTTGAGGGTCTAATTGTGTGTTCTCCTATTATGGTTCAAACATATTGGAGTTATAAGATAGTATTGGTACAGGAGAACCTGTATATCTGAACACTCTGTATTCTGGCCACCCAATTTTCATAGTGTATCAAACCTCCTATTCGCTTCTATTTTTAATAAACTTTGAAATGCGAATACCTGCTAATCCGAACATGTTTAGACAGTCCCAGTGGCACTAGAATAGATAAGTTTTACTCTTTTGGAGAAAATACTGTTATGTCTTATTGACAGATCAATTAGTTTCAATCATGAAAATGTGGTCATCGTCATGTTATCCAACTAAGACTGGAGAATATCTTAAAGACCTACCAAACAAATTGATGTAAACTTCCTGCAGGTTGTGGACTGAGCAGAACTGATTCAACTCATGGTGGACTTTGTTGTAAATGAGTGTCTTGTCATAGTCAGCAGTGTAGTTCTTCACAATATCAAACACTGAAATAAGCAACAGTTTTATCAAAGCCAAGAATGTAGTTCTTCACAATATCAAACACTGAAATAAGCAACAGTTTTATCATAGCCAAGTATGTAGTTCTTCACAATATCAAACACTGAAATAAGCAACAGACGTATCATAGTCAAGTATGCAGTTCTTCACAATATCAAACACTGAAATAAGCAACAGTTTTATCATAGCCAAGTATGTAGTTCTTCACAATATCAAACACTGAAATGAGCAAAAGTCTTATCATAGTCAAGTATGTAAATGCACACAATATCAAATATGTAGATGCTCACAATATCAAACAGTGTAATAAGCAAGTTTTATGAAAGTGAAGAATGTAATTTTGCACAATATCCAACATTTAAAAAATAAGCAACAGTCTTATCATTGTCAATATCCCTGAACTCAAATATTACGTCGGAACATGGGTGTAGTCAGGCAAAATATTTTCAGAGAAATGATACTGCAGACAATTTTTGTATAGAATCTGTGAAAATGATTTTTTGTCTCCCTGTTTAGATCTTGGCAAAACCCCTGCAGTAATACTGCATTTAGTATAACACAGATTCCCTTTGGAGTACAAAACATCTAGTACATTGGCTTAAATTCTGTTGATGTACAATAATTGCAGACCATTCCAGAGGTTGAGTAGTAAACTGTATTCCTTATATTGTTGATGGCCAAAACACGAGGTCAAAAATGGTCAAAAGTATATAATGTCACCACAATCCTAAATATCAACTAAGACATTTCTGTTTAAGAGAATAAACTGTCATACCTGAGGCAGGAGAGAGAAGGTTCACAACTTCTACTCTATCAAAGTAGATAACAACTCCGCCACTGCAAAGAAAACACATGCCAATGTTAGCTCACTATAATTAGGAATTCGAGTTGTGTATGGTGACAATTTATTTGGTAATTTTAACAGTGGCAAATTCAAAGCAAATGAGATGGAAAAGCTTTAATAAAATTAAAATACTCGGACAGAGCATATATGTTTCATGTCAGAAAATGTTCAACATTTCATAGTGATACATAAATGAACCAATCTACACACACAGATTTGCACAAATCTTATGTGGTAATTTCAGGCCTCTAATCCATACCTTGTACCACATGGGACATTCTTCACCTCATCTGTCTGCAGAGTGGTCTGTACTGATCGAAAGGTTGTAATTATCGGCACCATCACATGATAGCCCGGACCTGATGTTGATGACAACAGGGCTCCTCCCTAAATGAATGGAAACATAACATGTTAGATACAGCAGTCTGTGTTCATTCAACATTGTTTTCTGAATGAGTGGTGGAAATATGCATGAGTGGTGTAGCCCAGGGGTGTAGCCAGGATTAAATTATTATTATTATTATTAAAATATTTTATTATAGTGTCACTAGTGTTAAAAGTATACATACAATGTCAAATACAAAGTAAACTAAAACACTACCAGCCGGTGTCGGCTTATGAGACACTTAGGTCCTTCTACAATCTGGAACAATGTCCATTAAATAAATATACTATTCTATAATATACAATTATTGCACTGTTCAAATATAATATCAGCATGTTTTTAGAGTAAGCATTTTAAGTTGACTAGAATAAATATCTGTTGAGCATTTGTTTTGATCATTTCAGACCCTCTCAATATTGAAGTTCCTTTTTTGCCACATTTTAAATAGAGTTGAAGCCAATAAATTTTGGATGTTTTTGTCATGCATAAGACTGATCAGTGTACCCAGGCCATCATTTGAGTTAATGTTTATATGAGGGGCTGTTACTTTAACATTGTCATAAAACTCTTTCCTGATGTCCTTATAATGTTCACATTGAGTCAAAAAGTGTATCTCATCCTCAATACAATCATTATCACAGAGAATACATTTTCGTTCTTGCACCGGTGTATTGTTCCATCTACCTGTCTCTATATTTAAGTGGAGACTTCCTGTTCGGAACTGAGCAAGTATTCTCCTGTGTTGTCTGGGCATTAAATACTAAATAGACAAAGCAAATTTAAGCTAAATGAGGTATAGAGTTCATTTCCACAGTTTTAGTTGAAAAAATGTCTGAATATTATATCTGTAAAATCTTGGTGAAACAATTGCCTCACTTGGACAATGCCTATAGCCAGGCATCACTATATTCAAAATAGAGTCATGATATAAGAATGCTATGTAAAGAATGGTGATTTTTGTTCAAGTGGGAGGTGGTTAAAAGCGAGTAGTGCAAGTATTATCAAAGTTAGGGTGTTTAGATATAAAAATATCTGTGGTTTAGAAATAAAATTTATGTTTTCTAATTAGCTTTTGTGTTTTTGTCTTGAGCTGAATCAATACCGTTTCTAAATAATCTGGATATGATTCCTGCAAAAATGGATGGATGTGATCAAGTCACAATGTTTGTTCAAGTCCAATTCAGGCAACGATTACTATTTTTCAATACAGTATTTAGCTAGGAAAATGTGTTATTACTTACCCTGTAATAAACCCCTGTATGACCTGGAAGAGTCAAAATGTATGAATTAACACCAATCATCAAATGATTCTCATTTGCTCAGGCTATTTAACAAAACAATTATCTTAACAAATAATCCGTCTATTTTTTGAATGTTTTGCTGAAATGCACACCATAACTTTAAAAAATGTTAGACACAACATGTCAATCCTAGCATCAAGAAAAGTGAATCAAGAGTATATTGTAAATATTTTCAAAAACAATTCTAAGACGGTGTATTTTACTTAAACACCTTAAATCTTATGAAAAATTAAGATAATCAAATATAGATATTATCTTAGAGGCAGTAAATTAATTAGAGTTTGAAGTCAGAACTTTTGGATATTTCAGAAAATAGTTGTGACACTTTTTTAAAAACTTATCCTCAAATATAACTTCTAAGCTTACTTCCTCTAAATAATGATATGAATAATGAATTTTCAGAAAGCAAGTCATTTCAACTTACCCTCTTCTATCTTGTGCACTGAGAAGTTGATCATGATGGCAAATATGGCAGCCCCCACACCAAACACAGGCAGGACATTCACTAATGGCATTTTTCTTTCTACTGCTATCTACTATAAAAAATCTGAAAGTGTGAAAGAAATTAAAATAATGATTGACTGACAGACCAGTTAAACTGCTATTACATGTATTTCACTGGTGATCCACTCGATTACGCTGGTTACCAAAACGAACCGTTTTGGTAACAAAATTTCGGAACGTCGAAGGCACAGTTTTTCTTTTTTCCTGATTTCACGCGTTGTAGGCAGAATCCCCACGACGTTTTTTTCTCACAACGTGCATCAGTATCATATGTTTTAGAAAATCTACATGTTTGCGAAAAAATAGCTCAGAAGACAACAGAATCGTCGATTTACTTCCTCACTTAAGTTACATAAACGGTTTTTCGAAAAACAGTTAAGATCTGCACTTTTAACCCAAACCGTTTATGTAACTTAAGTGAGGAAGTAAATCGACGATTCTGTTGTCTTCTGAACTATTTGTTCGCAAATATGTACAATTTCTTAAACATATGATGCTGATACACGATTGTGTTAAAAAATGTCGTGGGAATTCTGCCTACAACGTATAAAATAAGGAAACGAGAAAAATCGTACCTTCGATGTTCCGACATTTTGTTACCAAAACGAACCGTTTTGGTAACCAGCGTAATCGAGTGGATCACCAGTGTATTTGCTAGATCACATTTTTGAATCAATATCTTCTGCTTTTACACATCACTAAGGATAGAACAGATAAGAGTCTGAACGACAATCCGATTTGTCGATCGTGACGTGTCTTAGTTTCTTTGTTAGTGTCAACAGTGTAATCGAAATGTCATTGTCTGCGATAAATTCTCAGGGAATAACTATCAATAATAAAGACAATTTACGACATGGAAATTTACCAGTCTTGTTTTTTATTCATTTTAATCATAATATTGAGGGTATTGTGTTAACACAAATTCACACAATTACACCTGACCATTCTGTCATATAGAAATTAAATTTGCCGTTTTATAGAAGTTTTCAAACTGGAAGTTTCCTTGATTTTTAACCATGGGGAATGAGAATCAATGTGACAGTCATGGGCAGTAAGATCCACTACATTTTTGATCACCAAACATTAATGTATTCAATTTCTGAGATTACTTTATTTGGTTGGATTTCAAATGGAGAAAAGTGGGAGTGGCTAATGGGGGCCAGTCTTCTATTTTCAATCAGAGTTATTGAGAAAATGAGGCAATGTAAAAAAATGAAAGTCGACAAACTTCTCTTCATCGACATTAATAATTTGCTATTTTACTATAGTCCTTGGAAAGGCGATGAACTTGTTTGCATCTGTTCGAACAGGGGGTTGAATGGATTTAGATGGATAACAGGCCCGTAGCAAGGCTCACTTTTTGAAAAATTCCAGGGGAGGTTCACTTGTGATAATTTTGGTCCAATTTTGGCCAAAATCACCCTCCCCCTGGCTACAGGCCTGGATAATACTGTCTAGTATTTGAGTTGGTTTGAGGGCTGAAGTATACATGGGTATGGGTCTAGATTGTATCCTTCGTCTGAATAAATTCAGACCGAATATTATATTCGGTCTGTTGGATACATACTAGGTATGGGCATGGGCTTTCTAATTGAAAGCCCTATGGGTCGAAGGTTTTTTGATTTGAACATTCCGTATGGAGATGGCAGCTATAGTCCATTTCACTGCTTCATTTCGTCAGTAGAACGGCAAAAATAAGAAATTGGGAGACCATTGTGCAAAAATATATGGAAAAGTATATTCATAATGTACATGAATGACATTTGTATATCTTGGATTGCTTCTAGTTTGGCTTATAAAGTGTGTGGCATCTTATATTTGGATGTTTCTCTGCCATGTTATTTTCAATAAGATTAACATGGCTGAAATTCTTCAAATTACAAGACGGCACAGGCTTATTGCACAAAAAACTAAAAAATCTGAAATAAACAAATGTCATTCATGTACATTATGAATATACTTTTCCATATATTATTGCACAATGGTCTCCCAATTTCTTATTTTTGCCGTTCTACTGACGAAATGAAGCAGTGAAATGGACTTTAGATTGTAAAATTCTTTGTAGAAAATGGAAAAGTTTGGAGGCCTCTCTGCGAGATTGTAACTATTCCCAGAGCAGGAGCTTTGGTGACAAAATGGCCTCCTTTTTATGCTTACATCACATACTTGATTGGTAAATAAAAAACGAAAGATCTTACACTCAAATATTTCACATTGATCATTAGATCTAAATCTAAAGTCTATATTTATAGACTTTGATTTCTAGACTAATCGACTGATGCAATTCTCTACGCAGAATCATCATGAATTTTGGGCTGTTCATAAAATACGTTTTCAAGAATCTCTTTCCAAAACTCAGTTTGAGTTCAGCCCCTCCAAAATACGAATGTATTAGTTAGCAGAATCTGGGCTTTTTGATTTGCGCACAAAATAATATTAATTCCTTCAGTACTTACTGGTATAATGGATGATCTATACATAGGAGACAGGTTACCTGAAAAGGAAGATAGATATCATTATCAAGGACTGAAACTGAGGCAAGTCTACCCTGGCTGAAATCAGCTCTGAAATAACAATTACTGCATGTCAAGCCGTCATTCAATGCTGATTTTGTAGAAAACAGATCTGTCCATCCTTCTACATGTGAGTTTTTCCCATAAAGATGCTTGATTAAGTAGAAATTCATCAAATTATACCCCTAGAATATCAAAGTTCAACTGTACATCAATCGCGTGAGGAAAAAAAACAAATCCATTCTTCACCTTCTGTTCACAAACCCTTCTTCTTCTTCTTGGAAAAGTTGTCCCTCATTTGACTAACAGCAAATGTGTATGTTTATGCAGCAATATATGTTAGTTTAGAAAATGATTAATTACAATCTTACCTGTACTTCACAGAAACATCCTAATTATGAAAATATTTCACTAAAAATACATGCTTCCATTTTGTCACATGTTCATAATAATTTACATATTGACCATGTGATGTTGACAGGGAGTGTAAACGCACCTACCGTACAGGAAATATGTTATGATATTTATTAAGAAATTAGGTATGGTAATCATTATTACTTATTGTATTAAGCCCCCAACCCACTTCACAAAGTTCATGAAGTACCAAGGAAAGACCAAATATTAAATAAATTAGAAAAATTTGAATTTCCAAAAAAATCAAGTGGGCGATAATAGAGCCTCTGAAACATGGCAAAAGTGACATATCTTGTAATTTTCAATGCACTCCCGATAATTATCTATCATTGTGTGCTTTCCACACCATATCAAACTAATATTATCTAAAAATAATGTATGTAATAAGTTAATGAAGGAAAAATTTAATGTTTCAGAGACTCTATTATCGCCCACTTGATTTTTTGGGAAATTCAAATTTTTCTAATTTATTTATATTTGGTCTTTCCTTGGTACTTCATGAACTTTGTGAAGTGGGTTGGGGGCTTAATACAATAAGTAATAATGATTACCATACCTAATTTCTTAATAAATATCATAACATATTTCCTGTACGCAGGTGCGTTTACACTCCCTGTCAACATCACATGGTCAATATGTAAATTATTATGAACATGTGACAAAATGGAAGCATGTATTTTTAGTGAAATATTTTCATACTTAGGATGTTTCTGTGAAGTACAGGTAAGATAGTAATTAATCATTTTCTAAACTAACATATATTGCTGCATAAACATACACATTTGCTGTTAGTCAAATGAGGGACAACTTTTCCAAGAAGAAGAAGAAGGGTTTGTGAACAGAAGGTGAAGAATGGATTTGTTTTTTTTCCTCACGCGATTGATGTACAGTTGAACTTTGATATTCTAGGGGTATAATTTGATGAATTTCTACTTAATCAAGCATCTTTATGGGAAAAACTCACATGTAGAAGGATGGACAGATCTGTTTTCTACAAAATCAGCATTGAATGACGGCTTGACATGCAGTAGATGTTATTTCAGAGCTGATTTCAGCCAGGGTAGACTTGCCTCAGTTTCAGTCCTTGATAATGATATCTATCTTCCTTTTCAGGTAACCTGTCTCCTATGGATCTATAGTGGAAATTCAAAATTTCTCATTTCATGATTCAAACCGGAAGTAGGACAAAGACACAGTCTAATTAATTGATGCTATGTTTTTTGTTAATTATCATCAACAAGAGTTGGGGTTCTTAACTTTTTATAACAATTTAAATCAATTTGAATGAGATCCGACAATCACAGAATTTTATATGAATAATCGTGATATATCCATAAGGTATTTTGGAATGTGTTCCCCAAACTCTTCAAACAAAAATGTCACAATTTCTTTCTCAAACTTATGATGAAAAGGGGAGGAAAGTTAGTACTTTTATGCCTGAAAGAGCAGTGAATAACCCCCATAGGAGAGCTACGTGAGTAGATCAACAATTTAGCCGTTTTCAAAATTTTATGTTTATCATTCAAATCTGCAAAACTCTACCTAATTTTTCCAACAGCTTCTTCAATGACTCCACTCTTTCTCATTCCTCGGTAACAAACTCCTTCAGCGCTCTCTCTGATCTTGACAATTCGTCATCATCATCTGATTCTACCGAATCAGAACCACCGAGGCCGACTGCACGAAAGAGGCGAAACCAGGTTCGCCTCATGTCTATCAACTTCCGCAGTCTAATTAGTCATGAGAAGCAACTACACCTTCAACAACTAATTGAAACTCACAAGCCAGATGTCATCATAGGCTGTGAGACTCACCTGGACAACACCATCGACAGCAAATGGATATTTGGTCAAGACTACCTTAGCCCACCTCCATACAGGAAAGACCGAAAGAAAGGTGCTGGCGGTGTCCTAATCGCAGTCAAAAGTGACTTCATATCAGTCGAATATGAAGCGACAGCTGATTGCGAAATCATATGGTCCAAAGCATCTCTATCAAATGGGGACACACTGTTTGGATCCTTCTATCGTCAACCAAACAACGATACTGGTGCTTTGGACTCGCTCCAAACATCCCTCGATAAACTTTATGCTAATGGTAATACACATATGAAAAACATCTTCCTATGTGGTGACTTCAACTTACCAGACATCGATTGGGAGAATGGAACTATAAGGCCTAATTCTCAATATTCTAATGATCTTAATGAGAAGATGATTACAATAACTGATGATCATGGCCTAACCCAACTAGTCAAGGAACCAACTAGACAAAATAACATCCTTGACTTAGTATTCACTACATGCCCAAACCTCGCAGAAAGAATCTCGGTGGTTCCGGGCATGAGTGATCACGAGGCAGTCCTATGTGATATAAACCTAAAAATGAAAATTCAGAAAAAGAAGCCTCGTAAGGTCCACATATACAAGCGGGCAGAATGGACTGGACTTAAAGAGACTCTACGATCTAAGTTCAGCGAATTCAAAGAGAACTGTGAAAGTAGATCAGTTGAAGACAACTGGTCCTCCTTCAAATCTACATTAATATCGTCAATCAATGAGCATATTCCAAGTAAAACTCTAAGTGGGAAATTCAAAGTACCCTGGATTACCACCAGGATACTGAGAATGATCCGACAGAAACAAAGACGATATAATGTTGCCAAACGTTCAAATGAACCTCATCATTGGCATAAATACAAATCACTACGGAAATTAATCCATAGTGAAATTCGTAAAGAACATCAGCGCTACATCAACGATCTGCTTGACATTGATGAAAGCGAAATCATAAATGAGAATGTTCAGCACAAAGGCATTACCAAACGCTTCTGGAGCTATATAAAGTCTAAACGCAAAGATGCATCAGGTATCAGCGTGCTGCGTAACAAAGATGGCGACGAAATAACAGACGCCGCCCAGAAAGCAAACATCCTCAATGACCAATACAATTCTGTATTCACAGATGAGGATGCCACTCTACCGACAATGGTACCTAGTCAAATTCCTGAAATGCCAAATATCAAAATTTCGACAAAAGGAATTCACAAATTGCTAACTGGCCTAAATCCATCAAAAGCCACTGGACCCGATCTTATTCCGACTAGGGTCCTGAAGGAATGCAGTGACAGCATATCACCATTCCTTCAAATAATTTTTCAACAGTCTATCGATGAAGGCTTAGTGCCTTTGGACTGGAAACATGCCAATGTTACTGCTATCTACAAAAAGGGACGAAGAGATGAGGCTGTGAATTACAGGCCTGTATCTCTGACGTCAGTTCCATGTAAAATAATGGAACATATTATATTCCATCATGTTATGGCCCACTTTGACCTCTATGAAATTCTAGTAAAATTCCAACATGGATTCAGGTCAAAGCACTCATGTGAAACACAACTTGTCAATACAATAGAGAATATAGCTCGGGCCCTCGACAACAATAAACAAACAGACATGTTGGTATTAGACTTTTCCAAAGCGTTTGACACGGTGGCTCACGAACGCCTCTTGCTCAAACTCGACTATTATGGAATTCGCAATAATAACTTGAACTGGTTCAGATCCTGGCTTGTGGGAAGATCACAACAGGTAGTGCTCGATGGTGAATCAAGTTCAAAAACTCCAGTAAAATCAGGAGTTCCTCAAGGAACAGTTCTTGGACCACTCTGTTTCCTTGTTTATATCAATGATATGGGCAATAACCTATCATCCTCAGCCAGTCTTAAGCTTTTTGCCGACGACAGCCTTTTATTCATGACAGTCGAAAGCAAGCAAGATGCATTAACACTACAGGAGAATCTTGATAAACTGGTCTCCTGGGCATCAACATGGCAAATGAAATTCCATCCATCAAAATGCTATGTGCTAAATATTCACAAAGGTAAATCCCCTATCATGCACGATTACACCATGCTAGGGGAAAACCTTAAGTCGGTAACACACATCCCATACCTAGGAATTGACATCACAAATAACTTACGCTGGACTACACATATTCAAACTATTGTATCCAAAGCCAATAAGGTGCTTGGATTTCTCAGGCGCAACCTCCATCAATGCCCTGAAAAAGTGAAGGCTCAGGCGTATAAGTCACTAGTCCGGCCTAATTTAGAGTATGCCAGCTCGGCATGGGATCCATACCGACAAAAAGATATTGATATGTTGGAACAGGTACAGAGAAGAGCAGCCAGGTTTGTAACCAAATGTCACTCAAGGGAACCAGGCTGCGTCACCAAAGCTCTTCAAGACCTACAGTGGGAGCCACTGAAGGAGCGTCGAGAGGCTGCTAGAGTTTTCCTTTTCTACAAAGGAAAGCAGAACCTAGCAGCCATCGACGTGCCTCCATACTTCCGCCAACAGATCAATACCAACACTAGGTTGTATCATCCTTCTAAGTTCATACAACCATCAGCTAGAACGGATGCATACAAATTTAGCTATTTCCCTAGGACAATAGCTAAATGGAACACTCTACCTGGTGACATCTTAGACTGTGACAGTCTAAGTAGTTTTAAATCATCATACTATGCCTATGTCAATAACTGCAATTAAATAGGTGTGTTTTTAATATAGATCTATGTTTTAATGTAAAGGGTCCCCAGTGCACAGCAACAAGCCTGCACTACTGGTAAAAGGGGGTGATGTCAACGCGGTTAGCCTGACAGTCTCCCCAGGTAAAATGAGCTGTAAACCATAGATCTATTTTTAAATGTTAAGGTTTTAAATCATATTCTATTCAAATTCTATCACTGTTAAATTATATATCTGCTTTATATGGGCTTATTAGCCTTTTGCAGATTATTGACATAGACATAGACAACCAAATTTTTGATATAAAAAATGAAAAATGAACTTCAAATTTTGGCGGCTGTGGAAAGGCTTTATCTAACTAATCCAAAATAATACCTTTATTCATAGTTCTATGCTAGAAATACATTTCCTTTGTTTCAATTTGTTTCTCTAAAGAAAAAACTTAGTGGCAAAATATGTTTATGATTGCACAAATTCGACATAAACACAGGATAAATAAGTCCATCTACACGTAGGCACGCGATAAATTAGACCCAATACAATCTCATGCAATAGGCTAGCTACTAAACTATGTACTCCATATAAACCTCTGTCTTGTTATTCTCTTGAAAGCCCATGAATTGATTTACATATATAAATTCAATCTTATTTTCCAGGAAACGAAGTACAACAAGGCGTCCATTCACCTTTACTAGTCAGACCCCACAGGATGATCCGCCTGCCAAGACTAAGAAGGTGCTAGAGAAACCCAAGCACAAATACACAGCAGATGACTTCTTCCAGGTAAATAAGTAATACAGACTGAGGTCATTTGAAAAGTCAGTGATTGCCATTTGACCATTGAATTGGCAGGTTAATATGAGAAATTAAACAACACTAAAAAAGCCAATTGACCATTGAACTAGCAGGTTATTATAAATCAGGAAAAATTAAAGAACATCTTTGAAACTTGTGTGTCGCATGGTCCTTACTTTTGTCTTATTCCTTGTTCCCAATATCATCCCAAAAATATCGAGAAGCACTAATTTGCCTGGCGATCTATCATTCTTATCATTCTTTAGCCCAAAGTATTGAAGTGGAAAAGGAACAGCTATATTGACGGAACCGTCATTCAACCAGTACTGAACTGCTTTTTTTTCATTTTACCAGTACATATTCCTACATATCCCTTAAACTCAATCATATTTCGTAAGACATCTTGAAAATGGTGGTGTAAACTCAACATAATTTTCTAAAACGTTTTAGCCAAGACGTCTTGGAATGTTGGGTGTAGTGTACTGAAATAGGGCTATTACCAACTTACTACATTTGAATATCATCTTAAACTCCAGAACTATTTTATGTTTAATCCATCCATGAATATGCATTTTTCCAAACATGGTGCAAAATCCTAATTTTATCTTTTTTTCTCAAATTCTGTCAAAAGTCATCCTTTTGATATGGGCAAACGGATTTTTAACAGGGAAGCATCCAATTTTGAATTTTCAACATGGTGCATCTCTCGTTTGCTCTATTGCTGTTAAGATCACTGAAATAATATAATAAAGCCAGAATTACACTGGTTACCCAGTCACTCAAAACATTTGAATTTTCTGCACAATTATTGAAAGCTTTTTTTACCCTACAGGACTCAACCTCTGAGCCAGAATCTCCTATCCCAATAGAAGCAGACACGTCAGTATCTGGGGGTCAGGTTGAGAGCAGCCAAGGGGAGGACAATGTATTTACAGGGGACACAATACATTCTAATGCAAGTCATGAGGGATCAAGAAGTCCAATACCAGAAACTCAAGATCTAGACCATTTGGCTGCTCATACAGAGAATACTGATCCCATAGTCCCTGATACACAAGAAGAGGAAGCCATTCCTGACACAGAAGATTTAGGTGCTGAATCCCCTGATGATGATAATGAAAATGTAGCCGAGGTTCCAGAGACACAGTATAAAGAGATGGACCAAGAAGAGGAGGACCAAGGAGAGGAGGACCAAGGAGAGGAGGATCAAGGAAAGGAGGATCGAGAAGAGGACCAAAGAGAGGAGGAACAAGAAGAGGAAAAAGGAAAGGAGGAACAAGAAGAGGACCAAGGAGAGGAGGAACAAGGAGAGAAGGAACAAGAAGTTGTAGAACAAGAGGGAGATGTTGCTCCACATGAAGAAGTTAATGATGTTGAAGATAACACTCCTGCAATAGAAATTGATGAAGATGCAGAAGGTAAGAAGATTCTTCCGAAATTAGGCTTATCAAGCAATGATATGCCTTTCTTTAAAGGGATTCAGTCTCTATCTCTGATTCTTATATACACAAAAAAACAAAAATCCACCTCTGATAATTACATTACAAAAAATCTTGATGTCAAAGCCTATTGATTGTGTAAGGTAGTTACCTATTGATGAATTAAAACTATTTGTATAAGAATAACAGCTATTGGGCCTTTTTGGCACTTTAATTTCAGAATCTGTGAAGGCTAAAAACAAGATATCATCAACCCGGAAAAGTCGCATTAGTTTTGCAGCAACTCAGATTAACATTTCGTCAAGGTCAACACCAACAATTGACTCATCTTCAAAGCAGACACCTGCCAAGAACATATCATCAAGACCAACTCCTGCTAAAGATACTTTACAACGAAGTTTACGAAGCAAATCAAGCAATAAAACTTCCACACCTATTGGAGGAGGGATATTAATCATAGATGGCACTCCAAGTTCTGGTCCAGTGAATACAAGATCAGCATCAAGAATGTCTTCTCCAGTGAAAAGTAGAAGTAGAAACAAAATCACTTCTTTAAGTTCAGAATCTGATTCGGAAAGAAATGTAACATTAACTAATAAAGACACACCAGGTGTTTCCAATGACACTCCAAGTGGACATATCATCGATGAAGGCACTCCAAGATCAGGTCCTGTTGAACCAACAAAAAGACGGCTTACTAGAACTCGGACATCTATTTTGGATGGGAAAACCTCTGCAGAGACTGTAGAGAAAACTTCTGAATCTATTGTTGCAGAAAAGTATCTGAAAGTACATTTAACTAGAACCTCTACTCCCATCAGGTTTGTATATTTTAGTTTACATGTTTCACTTTTCAGCATCAGGATACATAAGGGAGATTAAGCTACACATTTTTATGAGAACTTGTAGATGAATGTGCAGCACTCCCCTCATTGAGTTTAAAGGTATAAAAAAGTGTAATTAAGTCTCTGGAAAAACCAATTGAGAGTACTGTAATCCCGGCCTGGGGATCTCACATGTACACATACAAGTTATCTTTAAAACATGTAGCTTAACTTCCTTATTGACACTCATTACCATCTCTTTCAAAATGGGAGCATTTATGAGTTTACAGATTTTCAATAAAACAGTAATTATAATCTTTATATGGCCTGAATTTTAAAGCTAAAACTCCATGTAAAAGTGATTTAAATTGATATGATTGAAATGAAAAAAGTTGAAATTTTTAATTCCCATCCACAATTTGGAAGAGAGATAAAAGTTATTTTAAAATGTATACAGAGATGTTTTAGTGCGTTTTGCTATCCTCATCAAACTGCACATTTTGTTACAATCACCAAAAGTAGTTTTAATATTTGAAGTTTGGTTCTCTTTTATTTGTTGCATGAATAGCATGTGCTGATTTTTACATTCAACTTGTATTCATATATTTGCAGCAAACCAGCCACTAAATCAACACCTAAAGCTTCCATAAGCAAACAGTCTAAATCAACACTATCTAAAGTGACTGGTAAGAGGAAGAGAGCAGACCTTATGAAAGTTGACATGTTCAAGAAACCCAGTGCCCCAGCAGCCTCCATCAAGACATTCTTCAAGCCATCTGATAGGTAAACATTTTCGCCAACATTCGGACCATTCTGTTTATTGTAGCAATCCATTCAGTCCATACTGTTTACTTTTATCATTTCATTCAGTTCAGGAACTTCTTTAATTTCAGCATTTGATTCTGTCATTTCTGTTTTAGCACTTCATTCAAGACTTTTTGAACAACCCTTGTATTTAAGTAAAACTTTACCTTTTTTTATTATTATTGTGCTACTTTATGTAAGTGCAAACTGCAATGTGTAATACAGTCAATGTAAAAGCATATCTATCTGTTGCAGGTTTCAGTCACCAACCAAAGAGGCAGATGAGGTAAGAAATAAATGTAGCTATTTGGTATGTCATGGGACAACCCAGATGGGAAGAGACAAAGGAGGACTGGAAATTAGTATTTTGGGATATGACTTACATTTAAAACAGAGAGAGGTATTACCTCTGTATAAGTGCTAGGAATGGGATAGGTTCTGAGGTTACAGTGTACATTCAAGTACATCTACATACAGATTCAAATTTAAGTGGTGAAAATGTCATACACAAAAAGTGCTGTGTGTTTAATCAAACCCTTCTGACATATATATACTGGGGGTCAGCTTTTATGTCATTTATTCAGCGAAAAATAAATACATAATCATTGAGGAGCATAATATACTTATGATTTCCTACCATGAAACAACTAACTTTGCTGGATATGTTTTTCATTTGTAAGTATTCCTGAAGCTATTTCCCATGAACATTCTAGGATTTGGAAATTGCATCAGTGGTGGATAAAACTCCAAGACCTCACCCCAAGCAGGTGGCCAAGCCAGGTAGACCCAAGAAGCAGAAGATCATCCCTGCAGGGATGGAAGGTAGGAATCATCTGATCATCATGAATGCACATAAATTTAAATATTTACAGTTTTACATAATGATGTGTTTGTATGTAAATCATATACCATGTATATATAAGATATAAATCAGGCAAGAACCATAGAAAAATAATCTAAAACAATATCACCTAATAAAAAACAGTATAGCATCTGATATACACATATATTATTCAGAGTAAGTGATATCTTGTTTTTTCAGATATGGAGATCCTGATGTGGGATGGCGGTCGTATCTCACGCAAGATTGATGATGTGATGGACCTAGACATTGCTATTAACGTCATAGCAGAAGTGATTAGAAAAGCATGGTAAGTGAATAAATTGCATCATACCGTTTCATACTTTTATTGGTGAACATAAAAATTCTCTCTAGAATGCATTTTTATCGACTGCAGAACTTCACTTCCATTAAAAAATATGATTCCTTTTAACTGTCACACTGGAGATTGTTACAATACCCATCTTAAAAGTGGCATACCGCGTAGGTGCTACAGTAATGAAAGATCTTTGAAACATATGTGTATTTATTAGGCACAAATGGTGACATATTGTTTGTTATAGTCTCCAACTTTTTTGTAGTGGCAATCAGTGGCTGCTGTTTGGTTGTTGCTATTCTGTAGGTGGTGACATTTTTCATGTTAATATCTTGTATTCATAATTCACTCTCATTTCTGCTTTTATTTAGTCAACAAGAGGATGATCAGCAAATACAAGAAATAATTGAAGGCTTTGGAGAAGTGACGTCAAAAGCAATAGGAGGCTTGGTAGGTTACTAAAGATTTCTACCTTTATTTACCACTGCTATAATTAAATGATGAAACCCAGCCTTACGTTCATCTGACCTGATGACTTAATGTATAGTGTCATGTCACCTCATGTCATGTGTCTTATTGGATGACCATTAATTCATGTCAGTCGTTGATTTGAAGTTCTTGTTGAGTAAGGGGATAAAGGAGGACAACTTGTTCTTCAAATATGAAGTCATTTGTGTGGTTTCATTGATAATCACCTGTTTTATTTCAATTCCTATTCTTCTATTTTTCAGATAGATGGATATATGGAAACCAAAACTTTAAAAAAGGCGCTACGGAGGGTAAGTAATTCAAATATATTTGTTCAATCCCTTGTATTAGTGTATGTTTATTTACCAACAAAGATTGAATTTGTTGGAGAGTATATCCTAAATGCTTACATGTAACATTGCTACCCTATCATGTTATATATCATTTTGTTCTTTATGGAAAGTTACATTGGATTGCAAAGTTTCAGATTCAAGGGGTGTCCCTGAAAAAAAGATGCAACATATCAAAGTGAAACACCCTGTAGGCTTGCACAATCATAATGTAAAAAATAATATACAATAGTTGTAACTTGAAGGCAAGACTTCTTTATATATCGAAAAATGATCTGTATATTCCAGCACTTCTCTGATCTGAACACATCTCAATGTGCTTTTCATTGGTCTCATTTTTTACTCAGCCATAGACTTCTCTTTGTAAAAAAAACTCAAAATGTAAACATCTACCAATCCAAACGCTTTTAGCCAGTCCCAATTGTGTTAGGATTAAACAGTTTTTACTGCACTTTTGAAATGTGTGTAGGTGACCTCCCAGTTGAAGGATGCCAGAAAGGAGCTACTTTCTCTCCAGGAAGATAAAGCAAAGTAAGCCAGTCCTACATTTGCTTAAATGTAATTATTTATAATGTAAACTATCATTTAAAGATATGTTAAAGATGTGACCCATGAGCTAAATACTTAGCACATTGAAGTTTGAATCACTTATCACTAATTTCTTACTCTCTCAAAATCTCCTGTTTCCATGTCAATCTTGTGTTTGTCACTGTTGTAAGTCTGAAGATCTGTGCCTTCACAAGGAGTAACTGAATGTCTAGTCTTATATCTTGTCTCTGTGTTATCCCTGTAATAAAAGTCTGAGGAACTGTGTTCAATCAAAAGGATTGACTCAATACCTAGTGTTACAATTTGTATTTATCACTGAAGTAATTGAAAAACTGTAGTATTACATGGAACAACTCAATGTCTAGAGTTACAACTTGTAATCTTCCTACTGTAGTAGGTCTGAGGATCTGTATCACCACAAGGAGCGACTAAATGTGACTGAGAACAGTTTCTCTGAGGAACATGAGATCACTGATTGGTTGGGGGACATCAAAGATCTGAATACAAGATATGAAGAGACTGCTCCATCACAGGAACAAGATATGGTTGGTTTTTGATAATATTATGATACTTTGGAAGCACACTGACTTTGAACTCCCAAAGTGCATTTATGATATTGGCCCAAGGCTATTCCTCAATACTTGATAAATCATCTAGCCATGAATGAAAGGAATGGGTGCGATAAGGGGCAAATACCCCCATGGTCAAAATGAAATGCATTAAGTGTAAAATAAAGATTACAATTTTAAATAAAATTTAAATGTCACATTTAACCCTTATATTGACATTCATATTTATCCATGGTACCCCGAGAATAGACAAAATAGATATTGCTTGCAGTAAATTAAGTTGATAGTTTTGAACTTTTGATTATTGATCTTGAAAAATTAATTATTGAATATTAAATGCTTAATGTTACATGGTAGACAGTTATGCGGTATACCACGAATAGTACTGTAAAATAAGTCAAATTCTGAACTCTCAATTTCCTATATTCTGCTTCATGGTGAATTCACTATTATACCATATTGTGTTCAAAGAGATCAGTTCGTTAAATGTAAACTTTTAAATTACCAAATCAAACCATGTGAGAATTTCGGGGGAATTTAAAAGATTACATTTTGTGCAAAATGGAAATTAATGTTTTATTATTATGTTTCAATATTCCAGGACTATGGTGCCACAGCGAACATACCAGCACTATTGACATTATCACAGATTAAAATCAAATCTATGGACTCCTTACGTGAGGTGAACAGTAGACTTGAACAATGGGTGCAAGATCATTCCATTTCAGCTGCGGATCATTCAGTGAATGAGTGATGATACTTGAACAATGCAAGATCAGTCCATTTCAACTATGGATCATTCAGTGAATGAGTGATGATACTTCAACAATGGGTGAAAGATCAGTCCATTTCAACTATGGATCATTCAGTGAATGAGTGATGATACTTCAACAATGGGTGCAAGATCAGTCCATTTCAACTATGGATCATTCAGTGAATGAGTGATGATATTTGAACAATGGGTGCAAAATCAGTCTATTTCAACTATGGATCATTCAGTGAATGAGTGATGATACTTGAACAAAGGGTGCAAGATCATTCCATTTCAACTATGGATCATTCAGTGAATGAGTGATGGTACTTGAACAAAGGGTGCAAGATCAGTCTATTTCAACTATGGATCATTCAGTGAATGAGTGATAATACTTGAACAATGGGTGCAAGATCAGTCCATTTTCAACTATGGATCATTCAGTGAATGAGTGATGATACTTGAACAATGGGTGCAAGATCAGTCTATTTTCAACTATGGATTATTCAGTGAATGAGTGGTAATACTTGAACAATGGGTGCAAGATCAGTCCATTTTCAACTATGGATCATTCAGTGAATGAGTGATAATACTTGAACAAAGGGTGCAAGATCAGTCCATTTTCAACTATGGATCATTCAGTGAATGAGTGATGATACTTGAACAATGGGTGCAAGATCAGTCCATTTTCAACTATGGGTCATTCAGTGAATGAGTGATAATACTTGAACAAAGGGTGCAAGATCAGTCCATTTCAACTATGGATCATTCAGTGAATGAGTGATGATACTTGAACAATGGGTGCAAGATCAGTCCATTTTCAACTATGGATCACTCAGTGAATGAGTGATAATACTTGAACAAAGGGTGCAAGATCAGTCCATTTTCAACTATGGATCATTCAGTGAATGAGTGATGATACTTGAACAATGGGTGCAAGATCAGTCCATTTTCAACTATGGATCATTCAGTGAATGAGTGATAATACTTGAACAAAGGGTGCAAGATTAGTCCATTTTCAACTATGGATCATTCAGTGAATGAGTGATAATACTTGAACAATGGGTGCAAGATCAGTCCATTTTCAACTATGGATCATTCAGTGAATGAGTGATGATACTTGAACAATGGGTGCAAGATCAGTCCATTTTCAACTATGGATCACTCAGTGAATGAGTGATAATACTTGAACAAAGGGTGCAAGATCAGTCCATTTTCAACTATGGATCACTCAGTGAATGAGTGATAATACTTGAACAAAGGGTGCAAGATCAGTCCATTTTCAACTATAGATCATTCAGTGAATGAGTGATAATACTTGAACAATGGGTGCAAGATCAGTCCATTTTCAACTATGGATCACTCAGTGAATGAGTGATAATACTTGAACAAAGGGTGCAAGATCAGTCCATTTTCAACTATAGATCACTCAGTGAATGAGTGATAATACTTGAACAAAGGGTGCAAGATCAGTCCATTTTCAACTATGGATCACTCAGTGAATGAGTGATAATACTTGAACAAAGTGTGCAAGATCAGTCCATTTTCAACTATGGATCATTCAGTGAATGAGTGATGATACTTGAACAATGGGTGCAAGATCAGTCCATTTCAACTATGGATCATTCAGTGAATGAGTGATGATACTTGAACAATGGGTGCAAGATCACTCCATTTCAACTATGGATCATTCAGTGAATGAGTGATGATACTTGAACAAAGTGTGCAAGATCATTCCATTTTAACTATGGATCATTCAGTGAATGAGTGATGATACTTGAACAAAGTGTGCAAGATTAGTCCATTTTCAACTATGGATCATTCAGTGAATGAGTGATGATACTTGAACAATGGGTGCAAGATCAGTCCATTTTCAACTATGGATCATTCAGTTAATGAGTGATGACATTAGTGTCTGTTTGATTGTAAATAATTGTAATCAAATACCAACAAAAATGTGATCCAATTTATTAGGAATATGTTTAAATTTAATAAATTAACGAAAACAAAAAATATGTTTTCCTTTGCAATCTTGGCTGTCATCCTAATGGTGCTTCTCTACATGCAAGATCCCATTTGATCAACAATGGTGTATTTCTGTTTGTCATTAAGGATTTTTAAATTAATACATTGTCGACATTTAACATACTGATATATAATATTGTTCTTGTAGATATAAATCTTCTGTTTTTGAACCCTACTTTTTGTATCTTTTATACACACCTTATTGGGTTGTTTTGGTTTACATTGCAACCCAAAAAGGTGTGTATTAAAGATTTATTTTCCTGTTACCTCAAAATCTATTTGGAACTGTACCATTGGATTTCCATGGGGAATTCCCCTAAGAGAAAATTCTAGCGATTAAAGAGTGTGTACAGTTTACATAATTTGATAAATTATTGGCATACATGAAACCTATTTAAAATAGCTTTTATATTATTCAAAAGCGTTAATTATCAGTGATTATCAGTCCTCAGAAGTTTGAAAAATGAAAATACCTAGGTGTTAATCCATAGATAATCCTTGAAAATGAGATTTTTAGGATTATATGGTGCAATCTTATAGTCAATAAACTGTTTTAAAGTGTATTGATATTTTTTGGATGAAAAACATTAGCAAAATGCATGAAAAAACTCCCACAATTCATTCGACAAACAACTCCCCCTCTTTTCCCGTCACTTTTCGCAATATTATACTATTCAGTGCAAAACTTACATGTTTTAACTTTTTGCCACTACTGCGAAGATCAAAAGACGTACTGTTTGAATAATAAAATGTCATACCTAATGTGCCACTTAAATGTTTTAGCATATTAAAAAGCTTTTGCACCCTAAGTGATCATCGTGATGTTATTTAGGGTGCAAAAATGTTTTTGAAAAAAAAATTAAAAAATTTCGATCTCAATTTTTTCTAGATATGCTAAACCTTCAAAATAAACCAATGTTGATTGTCTAACTAGGTTGAAAAGAAGAATATATTGTGTTTTAGATATTATTGTACCGTTGGTTTCTTCATGTTCTTTGTATTACTTTTATGCATAGATGAGTTCATTTGTGGCTTATTATTCAACCAATATTCTTATTTTTTTCTACAAAAGACATGTAAGGATCATGATGAATGCTAAGTATTTGAATCGTAAAATATGTCTTTCCTTCAGTTTCCGTAAATAGGTAAAATTTCTAGCCTTTTGGAAAAGTTGCAATTTTTTGGGCCCAACCTGTATGTACAAATATGTTAAAAATCTGTGAACGAATTCGAAAACGACCTTTGCAAGTGTATAAAGTCAATAACTGTCCATATATAGACGATCAGGATTATGAAAAAACACGTTCTGTTTTTCTGTACGCTCTTCACGCCTTTCTTACTGGTTCTGCTTATACACATACATTGGCTGATGCAGGTAAGCTACCCTTTTTATATTAACACAGTGATTAGAAGAGTCCTTTTTTGTATTGTTGGCCTGCGACCTATTTTACGCTGGTCATCCAGGTTTTTGAAATTGATATCATTGATTCTAAATGCCGAATCTAGATTACATGTATAGCCTACTTTGCGCTTGCTGTGTGTATTGATTGTATTTCTAAATTATTGCAATCAACGGCTGTATGTCCATTGGTGTGTGGATTGAATTCAATTCTATTCTATTAATTGTCTCTTCTGACTCTACAATTGGTTTGTTTCATTCTGTTTTATCAGAGCTCCTCTTTATCTAATGCTTGAGAGTGTGTATTCCAAGGGATGGTTAAGGCTGTGGATCTCACAATGGGTTTGTTCTTACCTACTGTACTCCCGCTATTTTTCGCCTGCGATTTAGTTTCGCGCTTTTCGCGAATGTGGTAAAATCGCGAAAATTAATCTTCGCGAAATTGTCAATTAAATCCCCGGGGATTTGTGAAATTTTTCATTACCTGAGACTCCATTGCATTTCGTGTTTTGTAAAATGTTTGTTAAGTGTTTTTAGGTAAATGGGGTACTAAGTAACAATGTCTGTTACAGTGGCTTATTAGATCAAATAAACCAAAAAATAACGATGAAATAGAGGTTAAGATGCAGCATGTCGTTGACCAAGATGACATAGTAGTAGGTGTACTTAGTGAAATTCGCGAAATTTAATAGCCGCGAAATCGTGTTTTCTCAAAATTCGAGAAATTAAAATTCGCGAAGTTAACCGGGAGTAGTATGTCAAAGGCTGTTGACTGATCCTGATAAATAGTTCTATTAAAATCAGTCAGCAGCCTTTGACATGTGTACGTTTGTTCCAATTTCTCAAATATTTCATTCGTTGCATGGCCGTAGTCGGGCGATACTGCCTCGGCAAAAATCATATAGTTACATGGCCAAAATGCTAGGCATGAAGCAATCAATAATTTTGGAGAGAATTCTACTTTATGAATAAAAACGTACATATAATAAAAATAAACACACTAAAGTTAATGATTGCGTATACGTATAGGTTATCCAAACACAAACTGATGATAACCGAAACGCTTATAAGATTTAAAAAGGCGCAACGTCACCAGCGTGCAAAATTTGATATTTTTGCTGTGGATGGATTTAACAAGTAGTACCCCTGATAAAAATTGTTTAACTGTTTTTAAAACGCAACATGTTGATCCATCAAACATTGAAAAAACAGAAAGGGGTGGTATTCAAAATTAGGACAACATTTCAGTCTCGAAGTCCCTTACGTCATGTACGTAGGCCTTTACAGCTAAAAACATAACCCAAATTGAAAAATCCTAGCTACAGGCCTGTATTTGAAAAGTGGTCGGGTAGAGTGCACCGAATTGTCCATTTTCCTTTGAAAACATCTTGGGTGAAAACTTCCCTCGACAAAATTTTAATCCTGACTACGGCCCTGCTGCATTAAATCAAACTTAACTGTCTACTGATTTAAAGATTGGCATGTATTGTAATAAAAAATTCCAGGGATGTTCTGGAAGTTCCACAGGAGGCATGGCTGATCTGACATGGCGAGAAGCCGAACTATTGTTCAAAACGTACGTCTTTGTCTTTTATTCTGCCTTGAATAGTCTTCTTTATTTTGTTCTTTACAGAGAAACAGTGACAAGAAGCAAACGTTTTTCGAGGGGCTTCCTATTCTGGCATAGTCTCCTACAGGGTGGTCAAAAAACGGAAACACGCCATTTTCCTCATATCTTTGTACACATGTACATTTGTACATTATTTGATTTTCTACCATCCTACTACTATATTTCATAACCATCATATTGATAGTCACCATGTTACAGGACTTTAAAAAATATGCCCCAATGGCCACCATTGCGCTGTATGCAAACTGCACGAAAATCCCAAAAGGTCCCACGAGGTCCCACGCAATGTTAAGTCTATGGAGGTCCCAACTTGCCCCATTGGTGTATACCGGGTTTTATGGTCATGGAATATAATAGGGGGTAGGAAATTGAACGATGTACAAATGTGTGAAATATAAGGGAGTAATTTCTTAAAATGACAAAGATATGCGAAACATGCAGGGTTTCCATTTTTGACCCCTGTACAAGAATAGTATCCTCCAAACGCACAATTCTGATTAGAATGTTTCCCTTCTAAGTGATCGCGATAATGGTAATATGATGTTAATGAAAATAACCTTTAACATGTTTAAAGCCTCGTCGTCTCTTTAAAATTGTCATTTTTTGTAAAAATAGATTCGTGCCGAAAGAGAGATACAATTGTAAAAATATTGTAAAAGTTGGTCGCACTCCCGAGAAAAGAAATGGAGAAGGCATCTACCCTACTTGCATGGACGAGACATATGAAGTGAAGGTGCCATGCATCGTGTACGCATTTGGGTAAGAATTTGCCAACACAATCCAGAGTGCAGAAATTAAGAAGCCAAGTAAAACAAATGCGAATGGTATGCTATTATGTTTATGTTTCTGTGTATGGAAAATTAAAGGGCATTTGTAAACTGGGCCCCCATGGGCACATGCATGTGTGATATATAGGCCTACACTTATTTGTATTATCAAACGCAGTTTTGTTCGACGTAGGTTGCTGATGTCAGTTAAAACCTTTCCTTTCCAAGTAGGGGGATTATGATTTATAAAGATTAATATTTTTCAGTATTGCTGGTCAATGGGAATTCGAGGATGACTTTGCCAGACGCGGATGCCAGGTGTTTGCATTTGATCCCAGGTTTGTGAATTTAAGACATATAAATAAACATTTTGTATAACTTAACCCAAATACTCGTACATGTATATGATTGATATACAGTGTGATGAGAAAATACAGTTGACTCGAGTGATCACTGCCATCTGCAATTGAAATTGAATGAACGTATACGATCATCAGATTCGGTGCAATGTTTTTCACACTGTGCTGCTATTGTTCAAGTATGAATACTGATAGCCACAAACGAGCTGACAACATTTGGTTCTACAACATAGGCATTGGCACCATCGACACTGATACTTTCACTCCTCGTGTAGATAATTACGTCAAAAAATCAAAGCTTTTCACCTGGAAAGTGCGAACGATGGAATCAATCATGAAAATGCTCGGACACACAAATAGTACGGTAAATAAATAGCATATACCACAATTTGACTCACTTTATAAATTCCCTTTAGCATAATTTACCACGGTTTAAAAAACGATTCTATTGTTTTCTTCCATAAGTCATTTCTCCAAGAGGTACACACCTGTGATTCTTGAATTCAGTCTCTATCCTAGATTCAGTTTAGTATATAGACAACGTATAGTGAGAAACTGTTCACCTGAGGATATCTCCCGTAACCGTTTTGCTTTGATGAAGCAAGTTATAGTATTTAACGATTATATTTTACAGATTGATGTGCTCAAAATGGACGTAGAAAGTTACGAATTTGATATCCTCTCGAGAATGATGGAAGATGGTACTTTAAAGCAAGTGCGACAGGTTCTTAGTGAATGGCATATATTTGGAGATCAGAAATATGACTATCCTACGAAGTATTCAATTGCAAAACAGTTTTGGAAGTATGGATTTCAGGCCTTTAGTGTTGTAGAACATGATCCTAATTATCCTTCAACTATTTGTAAACAGTATTGTTTCCAAATCGATTTTGGTTTTGTTAATACAAAATACAAATAACTATTAATAAATTTAATAAATCCGTTTTCATTTTTCATATTTCGTCTCCAAGCTCCAAGTTCCAAATAGCATTTGGTTATCCAAAGTTGATATCAATTTGCTTAAAACTAGATGCAACAAGGATGCTTTCCAGAATGACTAAAGTAATATCCCTGCCATTGTCCTGTCAACCTACACTCCCCTCCATAAGTATGGCAATCCTAACTCCCCCATCGGATTACATGCTAAAGCCTATTTATGTTTGAATTTAAATATACTGTAAAGAAAAGTCTACTTTTATCATTTCGAATCCATCTATTTTTTTGTCAATTTCTTCAAAAATAACAATAATGACAAATCTGATGAAGTTTTGAAAATCGACATTCAAATGTCTAACCAATGGGAACTGATGGGTTTGTCACACGTCATATAACAGGATATTTATCCGAGTTCTTGCGAAAATACAAGTTAGGAAAAATTAAATTTGCAAACTTTGTTTAACAAAAAATGATATGTTTCTTCATGTTCAACAAAGTTATACAATAAAATAAGATCAAGTTAATTTCCACCTTTATCATAAGTATATTCATCGCTGGTTATGTAAATAAAATATAAACATAAAGAGGCTTTAACACGTAGTCCAATGAGTGAGTTAGGGTTGCCAAACTTATGGAGGGGAGTGTAACATTTTTATTGTCATTAGACACCAGGTGGGCAAAATACGGCAGTGGTAGTCTGTATGTAAAAATGGTACATGAATAGACTGGCAAGTCTAGTGTCACTTTTCTATTGACCTGCTCTATAATTATTATAATTAAATTAAATGTAAAAGATGGGGCATTTGGTCAAACCAGTGATATTCAGTTGAAATTGAAACCACACATTAGAAAGAGGCCGTGCAGAAGGTAAACTTCAAGTGCAAGCTTTGATAATGAAACCGTTTTTTTTAAAACGCCCCTCTGAATTCGAAAATGACACGACACTGGTAACAAACCTGAGAGTGATTGGTACGGTGTTTCTACTTTTCTGAAGTAGGGTTGCTGTTTTCTTTCGGTATTTTCCTTCAATGACAGAACTTATTGAAATCTGATTCACAGAAAACGCGGCTGCACTGTTTATCAATATATAAATGCCCTTGTACTACAGACGACATCGTACTTTTGGATGACTCCGACTGAGATAAACTAATTAACATAATAAACAAATATTGCAAATTACAAATGCATTCTCGATAAAATGTAAAATAAAGTTTTAAATCAAGGCCGAAAAAGTCAAAAGTTACAGGCTATTATGAAGATAGCCGATAAGTAAACGCTGACCTTAGCTATTAAAATGAAGTTCAAAAATATAAGTCTCTGGGTGTCTACTTTGCTCAAATGCTAAATAACACAAACACTTCACATAGATAGGCCTGTATGACGAAACATGATTTAAAATAAATTGTCAATTGTTCTTAGTGTTTTCTTGAAAAATATTATGCTCCACCATGGCTCATCCGTGATGTGTTCTTCACAGGGGGGGGATTGAATTGCCTGTTCCTGGGAAAAAAAATCACTGGAAAGTGGTTTTTATGTCTTTCAGTTAAAAGTCTAAGAGGAATTAAACATGGAAACCTTCAATCTTGAGAGGAAATTGTAATGGAAAAATGCTCAAAAAGGGCGTCTTTGGGGCGGCACATATGATTGAGTAGGCTAATTGGAGGATAAGGCCCCTGGGATTTGGCCGTACATTTTTATGTAGTGTTTAAATCTCCCGCAAAAATTGAAAGGATTTTTCTGTTCAAGAACAACACCATTTACCTCGATATAGCGAGATGATTAAAACGAAAATCGGTGAGTTCGATAATTTATCCAGTTTGGCAATTTGTAAAGATTAGCGTTCATCGGAGGTATGGATTGAAGGCATATTTATCAGAAGAACATTATTCCATTATTTGAAAAGCAAAGGTTTTAACTTATGCGTGGTATATGTCTTCAAACCAAAGTTACACTCAGAATCAGAATTTTTCAAATAATTTTTTGGAGCTCTGCCTAAAAAAATTTAGAAATCTGAAAGATCTAGGCTATATACCTTTAGGTTTTATATAGAGAACAACAAATGTCATTTTAATGACTCCTAGGAAAAATATTCTGCTATCTGTGCTTAGGCCAGAGTGCACTTTGGAATATTTTTTCAATTTTGAAAAGTTTGAGAAATACGTCCTTGGTTATTCCATGGGCTCTATCAGGTGGTAGAGGCCATGGTTATTCAAACATTCTGAAGAATCAGGCCCGTAGCCAGGATTTGCCAAGGGGGGGGGGGGGTTCACATTTGGGTTCAGTTTTCAAAAATTTCCAGGTGGGGTTCACATTTGATAATTTTGGCCCAAATATGGCTAAAATCACTTAAGAAGTGCTCAAAATGCTGAAAAACTGCATGATTTTGAAAGAATTTTTGGCTAGGTGGGGGGGGGGGGGGTTCGCCCGAACCCTGCGAACCCCCCCTGGCTACGGGCCTGAGAATTATCAACTCTCAATTAATACTCTAGGTACACTATAGATGCATCTTTTGTGCGAGAATGAAAGATGTAGATGATGTGTGAAATGAGTTATGTTTATCTGAAAATAGCACATGAAATTTCAATGTATTACTTGATGCTTCATAGCCAATTCTTCTTCTTTATCCAATTTTCGTGTTTGTGTACACAAAAGACGATGGCACTTTATGTTGCTTTTGATCACTTGTTAAAAGGGCAATGTCTATAGCCGCTAGCATCACCTCCCTCTACTCGTTGAATTTTCGACACCGAATAAGAAATGATACACAGTTTGTGGTGAATTACAGTGGTTGCAGTAAGGGATGTCAGTTCAGGATTGATTTTGTGGTAGTGGCCGTTGAGACGTGTACATGTATGCCCAGATATGATATGATTTGCTTTTTCCCATTGCATCTTACCTCTTTCGAAGTCTGTCTGATTTGTATAACAGTCAACAACAAGCCGCTAGATAATTGTGACGGATGAAACTTAAATACTAAATTCAGCTGCCTACTAATCTCCAAATTTTCCTTACATCTCCATCCTCTGGTGATCTCCACCTGGAAGTTCAGCACAATACAACTCACGTGTTCATCATATAGGAAAAGCCGGAGGAAAAGTAGTACATAAAACACCAGTGATTTTCAATTATTTCTCCATCTTCTTTGCAAGTTTATAATGTCTAAACCTTTGCTAATCATTATAATTTTTTCATATTTTCACCTTACATGAACAAGATACAATGGATACTGTCAACTGAATTTTAATAAGAAGATATCTCATAAGTTACCTGAGATATAATTATAAGTCTTGTTTTTATCTTACTGTATGTGCCCCAGACCAATATCATGTCTATATGCAGATATGTGCAGATGTTTCCATTTACCGTAACCTTCGCTAGAGATTGGAAGGGGCACAGAGCTGCTAAGTACAAAAGTCCAGTTTGGGTTAGGCAATGACATATTCTGGACCGGTTGTTGTGTGTTCAAATGTAAAGTCATCGTTGTTTGTATGTTGTACATGTATAATATTAAAGTTATGATTGTGTTATGACTAGGATTCTAGAGAATTTCAAGTGTTTTTATAATAATTATCTCAATATCAAAAGTATTATACAATCATGATAAATTGAAACTTTGAGTTGCAAATATTTGCAGTGTTGACTGAGACATTTTTAGCATTAACATATTGCCAATTCAGTCCATTGCCCGATGGGCAAGTAGTTTTTCCAAGTTTACTGCCAAGCATCTTGCTTCATCAAGCTTTAGATCTTTCCGATAGAACGTAGTGATTGAGCGTGGGAACCAACGATGCTGCCAAGAGTGAAAAGTAATTGCCATTTGTAGTTAGGCAGCTGTATAGGCATTGTTATGATGGACAATAAGGATGGGGCTTATGATGGGCATTCATTTGATAGGCAACAGAATGATGTACTTTCATTTAATAGGCAACAGAATGATGTACATTTTATGATGAGTAACAGAATGATAAGAATTATTTGGATGGGCAACAATTGATGGGCATTATTATGATATGCAACAGAATGATGGTCATTATCATGATGGGCAACAGATTGATGGGATTATTATGATAGGCAACAGAATGATAGGCACTTTTTATGATGGGCAACAGAATGATGGCATTATTACAATCCAAGAAGACTATGCAGTGCAGTGACAGTGGGAACTTATCAGCACCTGCCTGATTAGAATTATTAAAAAGGCCCTATACAGGGGCGAATCTGGGAACCAACAAGGGGGAGGGGCCAAAATTTCAGGTCTGAGAAAAAAACTTCTGCGTGGGCCCATATTTTGAAATTTTGAGGCCCATTTTCTTAAAAATTTGGCTTAAAAATAAAAGATAAGGCTTTAAAGGCCCATTAATGATAAAAAATGTCCACTTTTTGGGACATTAAGGCCTTTTTGGGCCCAATTTTTTTCTGGCCCTAGATTCGCCAGTGCTATATCATATGAGTTGCACAATCAAGATCCTTTGGACCTTTTTTTGCATAATGAGTTTTACCACATATTCAGCGATCTGCTTACTAACAAAAAGTCCCAATAAAAATTTAAAATAAAACCCTGTCAGATGTCATTGTGACAAAAAGAGCTTTTCATCTTAAGACATCATTACAGCTTAAAGCTATAAATGATTTTTAACCATAGCTAAGCATTCTTGTTTATGTTTTTTGTAATGTTTGCAATGAATTCAAATATTTTCATGAGATTTATACTATTCATTAACTTTGATTTATAACTTGTATATTGTTTCAACTTTACTGTAAATATCCAGCATAAAAACCATTGAAATGTTACCATTGAAAAGTCAAACTTGAAAGGGATATGCTTACTTAAATACTTAAATAAACTATAAAGTTTATATACATACAGTATGTACACTGATGCATTTCAGGTAGCAAATGGTTCACCTAAATGTAGCTGCAGTTAAACCAACAAGCTCAAAGTGAAGATTGCCACTGACAGACTGAGATGATGGACTAAGGTAAGAATAAAATATAATTATTTTAAGATTCATAATGTTTCTTTTATGTAAGTGTAAGTGACATGCTCTGTTTTGGCTAGTATTGCATCAAGCCTCCAGTCACTTACCATCACTTTTCTTTTCTCCCCCCATGATAGATCGAGATGGGGAACAAGGGGATAATGATTACTGTGATTTTTAGTCTATTGTTGTGGGTTCATCTTTGTTCTGGAATACATTATTACAACTCTTCTGTTCACTTACAAATTGTACAGTGTACATACAAAATAGAACAGTGCAATCAATAATGCATATTTGATAGACTTGGTACGAAGCCTTTTCCCTGTACTCTGTATTGATCACCTTAGTGGACAGTCTAGTAGTCCAGGCCTTCTCTGCCCTGCAAGAAACATACCATGAGAGACCTCACAATGGGGGAGGGGAATTTGTAAGATATGCATTTCAATTCAACCTCAGTGAGAGACCAACACATTTCTCATTATGCATAAAGGGCAACATTGCACCTCAGAAAAACATACAAACAAACAATCAAACAAACAAACAAACAAACATATCCCATAAACAATAGAAATATCAACCCAACAACATATCGTAACCTGGTCATATGTCACCTAAAGTCAAATACCTTACTAATTAATACCAGGTACACTCATGCACTTGTACATTGATACCAGTCCTATATGTACGTTTATATAGTTAATGGTTATTAGTTGTTCATGGATGTAACACTTCAATAATGAGATAATGAGTGATTCGTCACTTGCTCTTCAAGTAAAAGTTAACAACAGTCCTTCATAGATAGGTTATAATAGTATAGTTTGCTAGTAGAGTCAAAGCACTCCCCAGATTGTTCACTAAATAGATGATAGAGGAGTATTTACTTCTATGATTAAAGGTAGGTGACTTTGCGATTATTTGTATATTTTTTAAAGTAATTTCAGTCTTGAAATTGAGAGCTTTTTCTTATGTCACCACTAAAAGAAGTGGTGACATATTGTTATGGTCTCCGTTTTTTGTGATGACGATTGGCGATCGGCAGTTGGCGATCAGTGTCTGTAACAATATTGTGAGCAACTAGGTGGTGACATTTTGCCGTGTTAATACCTTGTTTGTAATTTATTAATCCTCATCAAATAAATTCAAAGAAATTAGTATATGCACTGAAATACACATGTAAACACTGAAATACTTTGAGCAAAATTTACTATAAGTGCATGTCAAGTAGAATAAATGTTTTTTTGTTAAAGATGTTGATTTAAGAGCAAAAAAGGCTCCAAAACTTAATGAAATATGTAGTTTGGATGTTCATTTATGTCTGTGGATTATATTTTATACCACAAACACTTTATAAATACCTGAAATTTGCAATAAAAGTGCCCAAAAATTGTTGTTTCGAAATTCCCCATTTTTCCTGTATCGCGCTAGTCACGTGACCATAACGCGTAGCAGTCAATGTACAGATATTACAGTGCATATAATATATGTTCAATATGGCAAACATCAGCGATTCTGATTCCCGGGTTCTGGGAAATGACTATATAAATCGGCGAGAGGGTGTAATTTGAATGAAGACAATTTAAGGAGGGGAAATGTGTGCAAGTATGGCAGTAAGAGAGCAGATATGGGGACTTTAAACAAGAACTATGACGGAGAATCAACTAAAAATGTGAGTTCTGGAATGAAGACCCGTTGCCATTGACTGAAGATTCCAGCGATCCTATTATCATACTCAGTTTGAATCTAGACGCGGAAAACAGATTATGAAAACAGGTTTTCTGCAAAGTTATCAAATTTAGAAGATATGGATCTTGTTTTTGAGTGGCTTAACAAGCATTTAGATACCAGACTTGGCGCTATCTCTTGTCAAATACATGCACTGGACTTGCACTGTAAATTGGCCATTGCAAATTGCAAAATCAGATCGTCAAATTAATCGCTTCGTTTTTAAACCTACGCTTCATATCTTCTTCCAAAACTTTAGGATTCGATAGAGATAAGTTATAACTTGTACAGGAAAAAATGGCAGATCCTACCTTAATTTAGAATCGCTGATTTCTCTGGACAAATTCCGAGAAGAAATTGTTCAACATCGCGATCACCCCAGACAACATGTCGCGTGCGTGTCACTCTGAACTCACGTGATAAAATACGGCATCTTGATTGGTTACTACTCGTGTTGTCATGACGTGAAAAGCAGTAGTAAACACTGAATATGTTAATGAACTGCCATATATGGAACAATTGTCTTTCTGATTGGTTAACTTTACACGCCTCCTAAATGAATATAGTAGTCGTAGTAAATGATTCATTGATAACTCTGAAAGTGGGCGTGACCAGCTTCATTTTGACACCAAATTCAAGATGTTTCAAATCAAAATGGCCTCGCAAGACGAGGTTGAAATATCAGTAATTTGATACTGATATGGTCTACGATAGATCAAAATTGACTGCCCCGCGTCACATGTCACGTGAGCCTATATTTGTTGAAAAATGAAAGAGATAGTGACACTTTTTAATCTTAAGTTTATACCAATATTACAAACACATATCTATTTTTTTCATTATATATTTATTTCTTCATAATACATACATTTGTTTTATACTACATTGATTTATTTTTGCAAAACCTTTGCTATTAGATCTTTAAATAGATAAGGCAATTGCAAAAGAATTCTACCATTTTGCAAAACGTTTCCAATTTTTCATATACTCATGTAGTGTTAGGTAGTAAAACAGAAAAAATGATACCTTTGTTTACAACAATTTATTTTGTTTGCCTAGAAATGTCAGTGTTATGCACTATTCTGACTCTTTACACTACCTGAATAAATAGTGTAATTTGTGTGTAGTGTAATGTTAACCCGATTATTGCTCTTTGCCTGATGGCTATTTTAAATTCATTGTAGATATGTTAAATGGCAAAACATTGAATGCTAAAACAATTTTTTCATGCAGTTAATTTCAGTAACGATGGGGATACACTGGCGGATCTGGAAGGGGGGGCCAAAAAAATTTTTAGCTAAAAAAGGCCGAAAAGTGGACCCTTTTGGTCATAAATGGACCTTCTAAGGCCTTATTTTTTTTAAATTTCAAAAATTGGGCCCACATTTTGGTTTTAGGGGCCCAAAATTTTTTTCTCAGACCAGAAGTTTGGACCCCCCCTTGTTGGTTCCCAGATCCGCCCCTGGGATAACCCACCCCCCTAAAGTCAAAGTAATACAGTCAACAGAGGAGGGGATGGGGGCTTGAGGTATTTGCAGTATTTTGACATTCCTCTTTACATACAGGTTTAAAACAGGCTAATTGTTTACACTGGCCAAGGTACAAAAAAGATTTATCTACCCATGATACAAAAGTATACCAAATGGCCTTAAGGTGTTGTTCTATTTGCTCACAGTTGCCTAAAATGTCAAGGTAAACTGCAATGTACCAAGGTAGACTTCATGAGATAGGATCAAACAACATACATATGTTTTGAGATAGGACCAAACAACATATTTTGAGGCATTGTGACCTAATGATGTACAAACATGTGTACATATGTTCTAGGGATACCAAATACCAGCTGTCAGGTCAAAGTGATATTTATTTTTGTAGATAGAGTTGGTTTAAATTTCTTTTTATCACAAACTGATTTTATTTCTTGCTTTGGTTTCTATAAATGATACATACACATACCTGTACATGTGTTTAGCTATTGGGACAAAGGTTCAGACCAAATACAATGAAGCCCTGTCTTAAATACACCTATATCAGTAAATATGTCTTTATTGAACAATTGTTTTGGTGAACACCTATTCTTAGTAAACACCTTGCTTGTGAACACTTCCCCTTGTGAACACCTTTCTCTAGCAAGGACCTCTCTCTCGTGCAAACTCTATACTCGGATTCCTATGTACTGAAATTTTCAGTGTTTAAGGTAGTCATTCACTGGCAAAAGGTGGCTCCATGCTATAGCATAGGAGCAATGATTTGACACACATTTTCTGATATCACACTTTTGAAAAATGAATTTTTAAGTTTATATAAATACATAATTTGGATGGATCCAATGAGTTACATCTTGTAATTCATTTTTTTAATGTACAAAAAATGTACAAAAAATTGAAAAAACATATTTTTTGAAGAGCAATATATAAAAGAAGTTTATTAAACTATCTATTATGTAAAAACGTTCCAGCTTTACGTACAATCGAAGTCAGTGACACCTACTTGATCATGAATCATGATTATGCCATGAACATTCCAATATATAATTGTGTATATTATTTATAGCATAAAGTTATTTTTAGGTCTGAGAGACTACATATAACCACCTTAATTAGAGATTTATTTATATCTCCTGAACACCAATTTTACATTCATTTTCCCAATTGGCCAGTTATATATTATACAAATTAAATACATAGAGATTATCCTATATGAGGTTCAGGATATTGGGATAATCCAAATATTCTGAACCGACTATAGGATGATCTGTTTATCCCATACCAATCACATTGTTCAATTGCCCAAAGTTCAGAAACTTTGCAACCAACCGTGGAATTATTTTAAAATATTCGTCAAGTTTTGTATTCTTGTCCGTAGCGGGATTTTCCTGTTCCCTCCTTACAAGCACTCGTAAGAGACTGCTCTCTTTTAGAAATAGTTGGGACTGTAGACACTAAGTGATGCATATAATGACTGCACTTTAGATTGAAAATATATTCTCTGCATATCAGTAGGGTACCAAATTCATATTTTATTCATTAACAACATAGGGATCTTTACTATTTCCCTATGGAGACAGCTATTTTATTGTTAATGTCAATAAGCATACAGTATTTCTAAAAAATATGTTTAATCTTTCTTATGCAGGCAGCTCTTGCTCATATATGGAAGAGAGACTGGGTTGAAGGGAGCGGTACATGCCAGTTGACAGCCGGGATCACTGAAGTGTAGGAGTGTACATAGAATCTAAAGTTACATCATGTCGGAGAAACAACTCTCACGTTCTGTTACAACCAAAAAGAGAGGTAAGTTACTTGCCCTGTTAAAAGTCCCCTTCTGGGTGCACAAAGTTTTCATCACATATATGAACATAACATATTACACTTAGATCAGTGTTTATCAGATTATGATGGAAGTCCAAGTCAAGGGTGTATGAGGAAAATAGCTGTGTAAGGGAGTACTCAGGTACTTGTGGGGCTATATCTTGGAGGGGAGGCTGTTTTTCACTGTTCAGGTATATGGCTATCCCCTTGGTGGGGTTTAGTATTCATTGTCCCAAGTTAACACCCAGTTGTAAGGTTGTAAGGTGGGGATGGCTTGACTAGTGTTCATTAGTCAATACCCTATATAACACTATACTATGAGGGTGGGGGTTTTAGTGTTCATAAGCAGGGGCGGATCCAGGATTTTGTGTTAGGGGGGGGGGGCATGTGATGATGAGCGAATTAAGAAGAGTCAAATGTAAAAAGCGCTGAGACAAAACACAAAGAATGGGTATCGATATGACGAACTTTTTGAACACACGTTTCTCTTAAACCAGTCATCAAAAATTTCTGAAAATCTTACAAATTGTCAATTTAATGGCGATCTTTTGAATGGTAACAATATAATTTGAAATAGATACATACTTTCATCTATATTGTTTTAAAAAACACATCAAAAACTTGTTTTGTTCTTGGTATCATGTTTCCAGAGTGAAATGAAACATCTTTCCGAACCTCATTGGAACAAAATGACATAAACATAACATGTTTAGGTCTCTCAATATTGTAATTGTACAAAGGAAATTTTGGTTGATTTTAAAAAAGTATCTTGTTAATGAAATAAAAGGTTTTTCTTGATTTTTATCTATTTTCGGGGATTTTGTTTTAATTTTTTGAATACTTTTTTAAAATCAACCAAAAATTCCTTTGTATAACTTTAATATTGAGAGGTCTAGAAACATGTTGTATATGCTATTTTGTTCCAACAAGGTTCGGAAAGACATTTTATTTATTTTCTCAAGAATTGGTAGAAAGGAGCAAAAACAATTGCACTAAAAAAACAAAAAATGTTAACAAAAACAGTTATATAAAATATTTCTAAATAATTTTCGCATTAAATTGTTGTTAATCAGTCAACATTACATAAAATACCATTTTTTTTACAGAATGTTTTCAATGATTGGTTTAAGAGAAAAACATTGTTGAATTCAGTTCTCCATATCGATACCTGTCCTTTTCAGACTTTTTAGGGGGGGAGGGGGCGTGCGCCCCCACTCCCCCGTCTAGATCCGCTGGTGATAAGGGGAGACCTTGGGGAAGGGGGCTTTTAGTTTTCATTGTTCATAATGCATTATCCAGTTGTCATTGGGCTACACTTTGTTTTTTAGTGTTCTAACATCATTGACTTGGACATAATTGTCCTAGTTATGAAAGTATTTTAATATGAGAATGCTATACTTGCACAAATTTTTTTATAAAGATATATGACTCAGGGCTTTCACCAGGAGATATTTAGGGTGTGGTGCAAACATCTTCAGCATTACAGTTTAATCGTGATAAATCATATTTATGTTATATTTTATCCTTTTTAAATGCTATTATTGTATATTCAGTCAAGTTTAGACTGTGGAAACAATCATGATTTGTCAGTAGGGTATGGTGGGAGCTAAATAGAGCGTTGTGCTGCGCCACAGTCTAAATGCCTGGCGAGAGCCCTGAGACTCAATAGTATAAACTATTAAGCACGTGATTATTTGTTGAAAGAGACAGTTGATGATTATCATCCAGTCATACACATGAGATTAAATGATTGAGAGAATGATTAGAAGTCAGAAGGTGATTTGAATTCTGTTTCAATCAAAAGATGGCATTTGTGTTGCAATATATGATGACAATCATATACTACTGTGGTAGGTTCTGAAGTTTCCCAATATGCTAAGATGCGTGTGTAGCAGTTATGTCCCTATCATTGAAGATATGCCTAAGGTCTGTCACCAATAAAGCCCGTGCTTGCGAGGGCTATATATTACTACAGACCGAAGGCATATATTCAATGATACAGACATAATTGAACTGTATTACATACTTTTACATCATGGCTACCTTATACCAATGACGCCACGTGTCTGTGTGCGAGGGAAATTAGGAAGAAATATGACTTCCCAGTGAATCTGATCATGAAGAAATTTTATATTTAAGGCAGAGGATTTCTACTCAAAATTGATTTCCAACGTGGCTTCCCAATTTAAAATGTACATAATTTTGGTTCAAGTATAATCTTTGATTTTGTCAGATTTGATAAAGATTTTACGTGCTGGTGCTTTATGGGTACTGGACTCTGCTCAAGAGGTGTAATATTCAAGATTGTTGCTGAATTTAAAATAGGTGTCAGATTTGATTAATACAGGGTGGTCCAAAAAAAAGTGAACCCCTGCAACTGGCCATATTTCCCTTATTACTTGCAGGAATTCTTTTTATTTTCACATGTTGTAGAGGAAGGTCTAAAATTTATGTTGGTACCATACATTTTTCTTAGTCTCGAAATTTGCAGAAATTATTAGCCCTAACCAAACATTACTGAAAATGGACAAGTTGTGATTTTCAATATCCGCGATTCTTCAACCCTTTAATACCTTTCCCCTGAGAACTTTTTAAGCTGCAGTCTTAAAGAACTAATATTTTCTGACTTTGTTCAATTTAAAATCCTGCACATTATGGCTTAAAACTATCATCGTACATTTGTTAGTTGCAAAGTTATTGTGATCCAAAGAGATGTGCTAAGCTTCCACAGATGAAAACATTTTCCAGTGAAATCATGAACATACCCCTATATGATCTTGAAATGTCAATATCTTCATAAATCATGGACCAAATCTAATGATATATGGCTCAAAACATTGAATATTGGATTTTCTTTTGATTTTTTAAAGATATTTTATGAAGGGGTTATCAGATTCCTGGTCACAGGGGGCAACTTCCTTCCATAAGAGGCCCCCTCTAACTGTTGGTCTAGGTAACATACCCCTGAACTGTTGAACAGTTAAAAATGCTTCAAAATGATCAATGAAAGTGTGAAATGTGTTTTCTGCTTGAATAGTGTCCCTTTTGTCATATGGTAGGGTTTTAAACTTGTATCTCTAACTGAAAGCTGTTTAAGATCATCCAATGTGTTTCGACAATTTCCGTGAATCACATTTGTAAAATTTTGTACAATATCTAATTTCCAGGCATGTTTGTTAAACGCTTGTACACGCCTGACCATCGACAAGGTACAGTCACGTGACATTGGCAAAATATACCGTAGTACACTTTTGATGTACTATGTCATTTCCGCCATTTTAGATCGCCATTTTCTAGAATGAGGAAGCGAGGAACGAACTAGCATTGATTTGATCAATATTGTGTCAGTTCATCATCAGGTAGTTGTTGCATTCGATTTGTAATTAAGTTGCAAATATGCATATCTACTTCAAATGATCCTCAGCAACTTCAATATCTTGTTATAGATCTACCCAGTACGTCAGGGATCTCTAAATCCTGACTGAATTTCGCAAAATTCTCTCTAATTTTTGTTTTGCTATGCAAATAACAGCCAAACTACGACTAACACAACTTAAGATAAGTATACAAATATACATCCAGAGTTAATGCAAACCCGCTTTTTACTTTGGATGCTACTACGAAAAATAGATAATTGTATGTTGTCAACTCGAATGTATGTTGTCACATTGGCCTTACAGATCTCAATTCACAGTTAATTTTACAGTGAATGAAATGCTATAATGTACGTGTTATAGAAGGAACATATTTGATAATAAAGTAATAATATTTAATAGGCATATCAGATATATTTACCCTAATATTTTTTCCGTTAATCCATAAATTGTCATTGATGATTAAATGTCAATGTTACTAATTCTTTTTTTTGTGTTCCATACCTGGCTTTTGAACTTCTGCACTTTCCAGATATGTAGTGTCCCAAAGTATGCCCCCCTCCCTAGGCAGACATATACCAATGTCTCCATAGTATGTGTCACATATCATTTTTAAGCTTATCCAAAGTTACATTGATTTGCCAAATATGATGGTTCAAATGGTAAAAAGTAACAGGCATTTCAAAAATAAGCGTTTTGTCAAAAAGTTCATTTCAGTATCCTGGAAACAGCCCTGACCCTGTGACAGAAAATATGGATGCCATTCTCGAAGATAGGATGGCTATTGAGTTCTAAAAAGATGACGTTTAGGGTAGATACTCCAAGGAAACTCTTCTTATGCCTTAAAAAGGTTTCATGAGGATTACAAAACGCCATATCCCTATTTGAAGCCTGTTTAAGGTCATATATGGAAAGAATTGCTGCTGTTAACATGGCGGCTAAGGAGACACACCGACTATTGTTTTGGTGTAAAACTGACTTTAATTTTGGCCAAACACTAACTTTTGTATTCCTGTAAGTTTTTCCATTTGTGAGTTGAACCATGATACTCGGCAAATTGATATAAATTTGGATGAGCTTTAAAATGATATATGACACATACTATGGAGACATTGGTATATGTCTGCCTAGGGGGCCCATACTTTCGGGACACCCTATAGCATAAATTTTGAAAGTCATCTTGCTAGTATAGATCTCTCCATGAACTCCTTGAGATTATTAAAATTCATAAAAGTGCAACTAAACATAACGTAACGTACCGACGCCGAGTGGCCAAAAAGGTCGGAAGATATCACGCCATGGTCACATATTAATCACCATATTAACACTTTCATAAAATAAAATAGCATTCAACGAAAAAAATCACGTTTACCTGTTTATCTGTACTAGGGATACAGGAGCATGTTCGTTGAACATCACTTGTTACGCATAAAACCCTTAATGCATTTTGAAATTAAATCATTGCAATGTTTAATATTATAACTCATGAATTTCAATTACAGGGACAACATACACTGTGAGTTGACAACGTACATTTCTGATTTTTTAAATTATACCAAATGCATGAATATTTATTAAATCTTAACCCGTCTTAAATTGTGCAGTTTA